TCCCTTCTGTGTGTTTGTTTTAATTTTCACCGCAGGTAAACAGAGAACTAGATTAATAAACACTGATCACCGTTCACGCCCAGCTTGCTTTCACTTGTTTCTGAAGTTATTTTTAATGTGTTGTAAGTTCCTGCATTTCAGCCATCCACAACAAAAGCCAGGATCTTGAAACAAAATACACATCCAATCATTTGATCTTTCCTCTCATTCCCATCCTGAGATAACCATTATCCCCTCACTTTCATTTTTATGTAGTTTTACGGTACCTGTGTATTCCTAAGGCACTTAAAAAAATATCGCTACAGTTTGTCCATAGTATTGCATGTCATCTGGTTCATTTGTCTTGAATATTGAATAATATTCCATGGTGTGGGCAAATCACAGTTTATGCGTCTGATCTTCCGTTGATGGGTACCTGCTCGTTTCCAGTTTTGCTGTCACGCGTGGACTGCTCTGAACATTTCCGTACACGTTTCCTGTTGCACATATGCAAGAGGTTTTCTTGGGTATGAGCTGAGGGGTGGTATTTTGCTGGGTCGTAGGGTGAATAAATGTCCAACTTTCGTAGTTGTTACTAGACTTCTTCTGAAGTGATTGTACGAGTTTTCACTCCACCAGCAGCAGAACGTAGGCCTTCCACTTGCTCCACACTCTTGCCAACACTTGGTATAGGCTGACTTTTTTTTATTTCTGCCAATGGAATGGGTATAAAATGGGATCTTTGGGATCTTGATTTCTGTGTCCCTGAGCCTTGATGTCGAACATCTCTTCATAAGTTTATTGGCATGTGTGTTTCCTGTAAATTATATGTTCACTTTTTTGCAATTTTTCTGTGGGGTTCCTGGCGCTTTAAAAAGAAAATTGACTGTAAGAGTTCTTTATATATCCTTGATTTTAATCCTTCGTGCTTATTGTGAATATCTTTTTCCAGTTTTTAACTTTCTGCTTTCTTTGAGGCATGTTTTGTTGAACAACCATTCTTAATTTTAACACAGTGAAATGTATCTCTTCATGTATAGTCAGCGTTCTGTGCCTTGTTTGAAAAATCTTTTCCTGACCATAATCCTTGCCTTTTAGGAGTCTGTGCCCTAGTGGAGGGGACAAGTAGATAATTGCACTCAGATGTCACATGGACATTGGTGGTTAGAAGAGGCCACTTCTCCGTGCAGGGCAGGAGTGGATGTAGGAAAGATTTCACTGGACAGAGAGTCTCAGGCTGGGAATTAAGAATTGAGTAAGTGGACAGGTGGGATGAGTACTCATGGTGGGGGGTGAGGGGCATGAAACAGCCTGGCCGGTTCTGGGCTCTCACTAGAGTTGCCGATGGCTGGAGCAGAGGGCTTAAGGGACACAGGCAGGACATCTGAAGAAAGATCTGGATGCTCTGCGTGCATGGGATTATTGAAGCCATGGGAGCAGATGAGAGGGTCACAGGGGAGGGAGGAGAGAAGAGAGGTAGGCCAGGGCCCAGCTGCCTGATGCAAGGAAAGGGAAGCAGGTTGGGCTTCCCTGGGGGTGGCCCTCACCACATGCTGCCTGCCGTGCTGTTGGATGCTGTATTTCACCCTCAGGTGTTGGGCAAAGACTGACATGTCTACAGAGGGCAGGCATGTCATAGGGGAGGCTGGCCAGAGGCATAAGCACTCTCCCACTTTTCAATAGAGAAACGGGTTCAAAGAAGTATTTCTCAACTATAGTTCAGTGGGACCACAGTGAGGTCAGCAAACCGTGGCTCATGGGCCAAATCCAGCCCACAGCCTCTTTTTTTTTTTTTTTTTTTTTGTGGTACACGAGGCCTCTCACTGCTGTGGCCTCTCCTGTTACGGAGCACGGGCTCCGGACGCACAGGCCCAGCGGCCATGGCTCACAGGCCCACATGTGAGATGTTCCCGGACCGGGGCACGAACCTGCATCCCCTGCATCGGCAGGCAGACTCTCAACCACTGCGCCACCAGGGAAGCCCCACAGCCTTTTTTTGTCAGTAAAGTTTTATTGGGACACAACCACGCCGGTTAGTTTATGTGTGGCCTTTGGCTGTTTTCACACTACAGTGGTGGAGTTGTGTAGTTGCAACAGACACCCAGTGTCCTACAAAGCCTAAAATATGTACCTTCCGGGCCTTTATAGGAAAAGTTTGCCGGCTCTGCCCTGGAGAGTTGTGGTAACTGTGGTAACCTTGAGAGCAGTACGAGCCACCACAGTGGTGCAGCTCATCGTTGCTGGCTGCATAATGAATCTGGGTCAGGCCTGCAAATGTTGCCAGGTTTTCTGGTTTTCAAGAGAAGCTGGAAGTCTGGATTTTTTTTTTTTTTAATGGTGGATATTCCAGTTTTTAAACATTGGCTCAATTTGTAAAAACTAAAAACTGTGTAGTAGGTCAAGCAGACACATCAGGCAGGCTGATTTGTCCACATCAGTGTATCCCTCTGCAAACTGATTTGGGTTTGCTTATACCTGTGGCTTCTCAGGCCAGTTGTTTATCTTTTGCCTCACTTTTGTCATCTATAAAATGGAGATGATACCCTTTGCTCAGGAATGTGAGGACTAAATGAGAACACTTATAAGATACTTAGCACGGTGCCTGGTACCTAGTAAGCTCTTGGTTGGTGGCCACTGGTGTGATTATGGCCACTGTGCCTGCCACTGCTTCCGCTGCTCCCCCATTCTGGCCCCAGGATAGGCTCTGACGACCTGTGGGTGGTCAGGTTGCTCCTGGCAAAGAAGGAGCAGCAGGCTCTTGGTGCTGGTGGAGGAGGTTGCGCACTGGGGAACTGTTGGTCACTGGGGCCTGCCTCCTGGCCACTGTGTGGCTTTCTGAGCCCCATTTGGAACGTTCTGCTCTGACCTGACCCTGGAGGGCCCTAGTCAGGCACCAGCCAGGAGAGGAGTTATTTCCCTTCTAGCAGCCCCATGTGCAAGGGACAAATCATGTGTAGTTCCTTCCATCTCTCAGGAGCCTAGTCAGGCCTGGGTGGCACCAGCGTAAGCCGTCTCTTTTCTAGACAAAAGCCTTACCTTGCAGCGCTCCCCTGTTGTAATAGTTTGGGCACCTGGATGGTGTGTTTTTTGCACTTCCTTGGAACTCATGGGTGGGACATGGTGTCTCTTGGCAAGGAGGTGCCGTGGTACTTTGACAGGCCTGTTAGTGAAACTCCACTGGGACGGGAGCAGCCGTCTGAAGTAACGATGGTAAGTAACAGTGGTGGGGTTTGTGTCATATTTACGATCTTTTGAAAGTGGTGGGCATTGTAGCGGTTTGTTTCTGAAAACAAAAGTAATAGTTTCCCACTTTAGAAAATGTGAAAAGTTCAGATATGTAAGGAAGTTGAACCAAAGGTCTCTAATAGTTTCTGCACTCCAAGGCAGTCCTTAGCATTTTGGTACCGTTTCTACTGCGTTTTCTCTCTGCTTCTCTTTTACCAAGTTAAAATAGTGCTGTGGGGAGTATCTTTATGTTGAAGTTTTTCTCTCATCTCCTTTGATAGATTTCTTAATGATCATGTCAAAGCAAGTGAACATTTTTAAACCTCTTGATACGTGTTACCAAACTGTTTTCTGGAAAGGGTTTATCCGTCCCAGAAGTGTGACATCTCAGGGTACTCTTGCCAGCACTGAGTACTGAAATTATTTTTACTGCTTTGACAGGCAAAAAAATAATAGGCCATTGTTTTAAATTTGTATTAAAAACAACGTGTCTAGCAAAGTAGAACATTTCTTTGGTGTGTTTGTGTGCAGTATTCGACTTTCCCATCTCCATGGGAAGGCTTTCTGACAGTGCCTGGGTGGCCGGCTGCCCTGTAACAAGTCTTTGAAGGTCATGCTCTGCTTACCGGTCATGCGCACCGTGTCAGCTGGTGGGGTGTGGAGTTGCAGGCCCATGCTTCTTGGAAAGCACCTGAAAGTGACGCAGCATGGAACTAGGGTTTGAAGTCCACCCGGTCTCACTGGTGTCCAATCTGTGCCCCTCAGAATGCCTCTGTCCCGCACAACAGCTTCCTGGACCTCTCAGGAAGTAGGAATGGAGGGCAGCCCTTGTGTCCATAAGAGCACCCCACTCTTCTGCGTTTTACATATCGATGGGCAGCGTACGGTCACATTTGGAAAAGGGTTCTGCTGCTTATGAGAGGCTGGAAAACCCATCCAACCGCCTGAGCAGTGGAGCCCAGGAAAGGGGAGGTGACTGTCCCAAGGTCACCGAGCATGGAGCCAAGGGTGAACTGCCCAGCTCAGGCCTGGGCCAGGCCACTCTGTATTTTGGTGGGCTTTGCGGGGAGGAAACGGGTCCTCACATGTTGGCAAATTGACAGTCGCCCAGTCTGGGCACCAGTTTAAAAGCCATGCTCGGGGCCTTCTTCCCGGAGGCCGCAACTGTAAGGGATCCATTTGTGTGGTTCCCCTACCCGGAGGCCCACAGTCAGGCAGGATGAGTTTCACTCAGATTCCTGCGTCAGCTCAGGTCTTGTTCTAAAGCTTTTGTAAATCCCCTGGGAATAGAAAGACTCTTGGACACATGCAACTTTTTTCCTTTGTGTGAAACCCCTCTCTGGTAGGACAGTAGCGTCCCTCTGTGCCTCGGAGCCGTGGGGCTGTGCACAGGCGTTTGTGGCTAAATTTGACAAGAGAATGCAAGAGAAGGCAGGATGGTTTTTCTCGTGGTCAAAGTTGTTGATACATTTTTTTTTAAATTTTTATTTATTTATTTATTTTGGCTGTGTTGGGTCTTCATTGCTGCGCGCGGGCTTTCTCTAGTTGTGGTGAGCGGGGGCTACTCTGCGTTGTAGTGCGTGGGCTTCTCATTGTGGTAGCTTCTCGTTGCGGAGCACGAGCTCTAGGCGCGAGGGCTTCAGTAGTTGTGGCACGCGGGCTCAGTAGTTGTGGCACGCGGGCTCTAGAGCGCAGGCTCAGTAGTCATGGCACACAGGCTTAGTTGCTCTGCGGCATGTGGGATCTTCCTGGGCCAGGGCTCGAACCCGTGTCCCCTGCATTGGCAGGCGGATTCTTAACCACTGCGCCACCAGGGAATCCCTTGATACAGTTTTTTAAAAATAACTTCTGTTCGATCATAATAAGTAATATGATCATTGTAGAACATTTGCCAGTACAGAAAGAGGTAAAGAATAAATATCCCATGACTCCATCACTCCTAGTAAAATGTCAGAGTTGTTCCTTCCCACCTTTTACAAATTAGCTTATATTAGAACCTGGTGTCACAGACTGGCCGTCTGACCTTGAGTAAATTCTTAATTGCTTTTGGCTTTGGTTCTCATGTCTGTAAAATGGGGATAATCTTTACCTTCAAGGGCAGTTGAGGGTTGAGAGAGCTGGATGGCAAGAGCACCGGACAGAGTGCGTGCCACATAGTAGGTGCTCAGTAAATGGCACACCCACCCCTTTGAGAGCATATAGTGTATATGGTTACATATCCGGTATTTTTAACTTGTCAACAGCATTATCCTAGGTCTGAAAGCCTTTTAAAAACATTTTTCAAGGCTCGTATTCCATCATTGGGGTGTACCATAATTTATTTAAGAATTCCCTTATTCCATTATCATAAAGTGTTTAGGTTGCCCCCAGACTAAGGCTGTTTTCCCATGGCCAATTAGAATAATAACAATTTTCATAATTAAGAGCACCCTAAATAGCCCCATCATTAGGAGCCGAAACAAATTAGGTTTTTGAACTGCAGCTTGGGGATGGCTGAGGCTGTAACAGAGAATGGGTGCATTGACACGGCCACTGCGTGTGCATGGTTGCTGCGTTCCAGGGGAACATCAGTGGGTGTTCTGGGCATCGCGCCAAGTGTGCCCCAGGTGCCTGGAGCAGAAGGTGCTCCTCTCTTTCGGCGTGTGTGTTTTAGACCCTCTGGGATATTAGGCATTTGACGAGCTGCAGCCCCAGCTTGGGGTCAGCCCCAGCTCTGCCCTCAGGGAGTTCCTGTTCTGGGGGGTGGTGAGAGGGGGGACAGATACTGAAACCAATAAATGCAGTATGTTTGGATAAATGGAGAATGCAGTTAGGACGCACAGGAGGATGGGGTCAGCACTTTCTGTTAAAGGTGTGGCTCAGAGCGGGGTGCTGTGGCTGAGTCTGGAAGGATGGGCATGTTTGCTGGAGGCTTAGGTGCAGAGAGGATGGAAGTCTGGACATGGGCACCAGCAGGGTCAATGTCTGGGAGGTGGGAAATGGCTCCGAATGTTCTGGCACTTGCTAGAATTTGATGCATGTGGACAAAAGGTGGAGGCCTTGGTATTAGTGGGGACAGTGGCCGGTCGTGGAGGGGCCGTGTGCTGTGTCTTTCTCATCTCTGGGTCTCTAGTACCCTGACAGAGCCTGGACCGTCATGTGCCTGCGGTCTGTAGGCCAAACACGTTCATGAAGAGCTTAGCTGAAGTTCTCGAGTGTAGTTCTCAGGCTGTTTGGCAGAGTTATCCGAGTTGGTTCATCTGGGGGTGTGTGGACATGCTGGAACATACCACGTGCGCTGGTACATGGGAGGCCCCTGCTGCCCGAGAGATGAGTGACGCCTGCCAGGAGGTGCCGGGGGGAAAGTCTGGGCCCAGGAGTAATTGGCCCTGAAACCAGTCCTGTGATTTGTACCTGGATGTGGGTCCAGAGACCTCTAGTTGCAGGCGCTGAGCTAATAAGCTCGCCAGCCATCTCGAGGGCATCCCGGGTCTAATCCTCCATGGCGGGATGTGTTCTACTGTTGGAGCAGTTGGCAGCTCAGGGGTGGCCCTGGCCCCCCTATGTGTGCTCAGAGTTATTGCAGGCCTGACTCATCGCCCACGTTCTCAGGCCGGGTAGCTCAGTGCCGCCCTGGGCCGCCACTCCTCACCTAGACTTGAGGGGTGGGAGGTGCTGGGTTGGAGGGGAGCAGGGAAAGGGAGGGAGGCCAAGATTGGCTGATATCGGCTGTGTGCCTGGAGCTGTTCTGGGTGCTTTATACACACCTATCCATCTGAATCCCCTAGAAAAGCACTTAGAATAGAGGTTGATATGTCCACTTCCAAGCGAAATCGGGCTTGGAGGGCTTAGGTACCTTCACCAGGTGACACAGTGAGTAGAGTGCAGTGAATATGCGGCGTGTGGATACCACAGCCTGTGCCTCTTCCCTGTCACGTGCTGCTCCAGCTCTGCCTTCCTTGTGGGGCAGGTGGTATCGGCCTTCTCACTGAAACCCTGCTGGAGTACGATCTCAGGGACAGCAGCGAAAGCCCAGGCAGGGTCCCAGCCTCATTAGTGGCCATGAAAGTGAGTCACCAAAACCACCGGGGCCTCAGTTTTCTCATCTGCAAAACACGGACAAAATTCAATGTCTGTACTTAAGGGGATTGTGTGGGAATCGGAGCAGATGATGTGACTGGGAACCCTGTTGGCACCAGGGCCCTCCGTGGACGTAACAGCTGAGGGTGCTCACAGCTTGAGATGCAGGCTCCTCTCCCCCTTCCTCCCCTCCCCCCACTGCTTTCCCTTTTCTCTCTCCCCCCTCTCTAAGTAAGCGGGGTGTAGAGAGGCTGAGAGGCTAGAGAGGGCTTAAGCATCCCTAGGATTTTAACGTTTATTTAGGCGGAGCCCAAGGTAGAGATCATGCTGAGCTTTCCTCGCTAAGAAAATGGGCCTTAGAGCCAGTTGATCTGGGTTTGCACTCTGTGCTACCACTTACCAGTGTATGTGTGACCTTCAATAAGACCTTGACTTCTTTGTTTTCCTGTCCATAAAGTGGGAGAAATACCGCCTTGTCAGTCTGTTTGGCCCCGTTCCTCTCTCACCCTAGGAGCTTCCACAGACCCCCTTTCTTCTTCAAACAGCTGCAGGCACATAGAACCTTCATCTGCCTCCATTCAGTCGTGCTTTGAGCTAATCCATGTATAACACGTGCTACATGACACGGCCTGTGCTGGGGCTGGCGAGGTGGCTGTGGACAAGGCCGACTCGCTGGGTGTCTGCCTTCTGAGGGGGCAGAAAGACAGGGACCGCCATATGTGTTTGTGGGCGTTAGAGTTCTGGTCAGGGCCATGGAGGAGTTCATGTGATGGATGGCCTGGGAAAACCCTGAGTGATGCAACTGGGTGGGAGTGACTGGGAGAAGAATGTCTTGGGAGATGGGTGTAAAGTCTTTGGAGCTGACCGCTGGTCAGCAAGGCCCAGGCCCAGGGAGTGGGGTGCAGAGAGGCCAGAGAGGGAGGGCTTCAGCACCCATAGGATGTTAATGTCTATCTAGGGTCTGCCCTCTGTGGTTAATGGTGCGGGAAACCAGGGCAGCCCGGAGACCTGGACAGAGCTAGGACCCACCCATGCTTAGAGTAGCAGCTCTGGCTGTCCTTGAGCCCCTGGTCCTTTCTGAGACATAGTTTTTTTTTCATCTGTAGCATAGCAGGTGTTAATATGTGTCTCACAAACAAACCTGCTTTGGAAACCTGTGTGGCGTCCTCACAAAGGTATAAGGGGTCATGCTGGCCTCAGTCCACAGAGGATTGGGGTGACTCATGAAAATACATACAGTATAAGAGGATACACTTAGTAGTTGGGCCAGAGGGAAATTATTGGTAAAAGGACAGAAGCAGGGCTGACGATTAGCACCCAGAATTCACCCACTGTGTCTTCCTGGACATTTGCAGAGGTAAGGAGGCTGTTTGATTGACTCCGAATTCTTCCTGGCTGCCTGAGCAAAGAGACAGGATTAGGTACTTGGTTCACGATGCCCTTAAGGTATTAGGGAAAAAAGTGACAGCGGAAAAGCACGATTCCCACCCCCCCGCCCCCCCGCACTGAGACTGACTCTGGCAGGGCCACCGTGTGCGTCGGTAACTGCGTGTCTGTCTTGTTTCAGGTCTCCTGGAAGCGCTGGGCAATGAACCTGAGACTGCAGCCCAGAGCGGTCTGAAGCCGGTGGGGAGAACAGAGGGCGTCCTGGGGAAGATGGCCATGGCCCCAAGCCCTTCCCTGGCTCAGGTGTACACCAGCCCGGTGGCAGTGGCCGTGTGGGAATGGCAGGATGGGCTGGGCACCTGGCACCCCTACAGTGCCACTGTTTGCAACTACATCGAGCAGCAGTTTGTCCAGCAGAAGGGCCAGCGCTTCGGGCTGGGGAGCCTGGCCCACAGCATCCCCTTAGGCCAGGCTGACCCCTCACTGGCTCCGTATATCATCGACCTCCCCAGCTGGACGCAGTTCCGCCAGGACACTGGTAAGGCACTTCCTGCCTCGAGTATGTGTCCAAGTGCCTGTTTCGGGCTGGGCGTCGTGCTAGGTGTTGGGGGTCACAGAATTGACTCTCAGTGTTATCCTGCCCCTGAAATGCACACGGTCAGAAGGCAGGTGGTGGGAGTGATAGCAGTGTGAGATGTTCCTTAGTGGTACGGGGTGCCTTGGGAACACAGTGCAGAGGCCGTTCCAGCCCCTTTCCCCCTTGTCTCCCAAACCAGAAATGCCTGCTTCCGCCCGCAGGGATTTGAGTGTCTCGCTGGCAGCAGGCAGGCAAGCAGGCCGGCTGGCATGGGGGTGGCACACCATGCTAGTTAAGAGGGCCTGGTGATGGGTTCCAGCTCCTGTATGATAGCTGTGTCACATGGGCAAGTTACTTCACTCTCCTGTGCACTCATGTTTCTTTCGTGTGTGTGTGTGTGTGTGTGTGTGTGTCTTTTGCTCAGTATTACTGAGAATGGGGCCACCAACTTCTTCCCAGAGCTGTGCACTATCCCTGTAAATCAGTGGTTTTCAGCTGGGGGCAATGTTTGGAGACATTTTTGATGGTCAGGACTATGGGGTGGGGCGCTACCAGCATCTAGTGGGTAGAGGCCAGGGATGCTGCCAAACATCCTACAATGTACAGGACAGCCCCACAACAAAGAGTTATTAGCCCAGAATGTCACCAGTGCCGAGCCTGAATACTCCTGCTCCAATCCCTGTAGCAGCCTCCTCGAGGGTGTGAGGACTCAGGCTTCCAGGCAGTGGATGCAGATGAAAGTCCCTGCCTTCATGATGTTTGCAGTCACTGAGAAAGGCAGCGCACAAGATAAATGATTCGAGAACTGTGTATGAGTTAGGTAGCAGTGAGTGTTTATCAGGGAATGGATGTGTAAAGCACAGGGAGAGGTCGTTTTGAAGTTTGAGCTTGGGTGGCCTGGTCACCAGGAAGGGCTGGGGACAGATAAGGAGGGAGGGGCAGGTCGTTCAGGGCTTTTCCATCCCTTTAGGGACTTCGACTTTTCTTCTGAAAGGAGGAACCCTGGGAAGATTAGGGCAGAGGAGTGACGTAATCTGATTTGGGGGTTAAGAGTATCCCACTGGCTGCTGAGGTCGGGAGACCAGGTAGAAGGTAATCGCAGTGATCACCTTTTGACAAGTACTGTTGGAAGCATGGCCCAAATTGACTTTTTTCTTTCTCTCCTGAATTGGTTTTGTTTATTAATATAAGCTAACCACAGGTGTTTGCTAATAGTTGCTACCTGGGAAATCCAAAGGAATCTAAGTACATCCATGTAAGAGAACTGTGTAACAGTTAATAAAGAGTTTTACAAAGTTTTACAGACATTATAAATACTTACGGCATAATACATGAAAACAGGAAATTTTTCAGTATGATTGTCAGCTACACCTAAACATACATGCCTAGGAGACTAGACGGGAAGGAATATGTCACAATATACGATATATGTCCTGTGCTTTCCTCTTGGTGGTTGGATTATGGATTATTTAATTTTCTTCAGACATTTTGTTTTCAGTTTTTTAAGTCAGGCTACATAGGTTTCATCCTTAGGACTATTTTGAGCCACAGCTGGTCTTTGACCTAAGCGTCCAGCATCCCTCACTCCTGCTGAGAAGCGCTGGTCCCTCTCTGCCACTTGATCCCTTTGATCCATGGTTTCTTTGCATAGAGAGAGCTCTCTACCCTTCATCCCAAATTTGGAGAGAATAGTCAATGCCAGCCTTTAGGTCAGACAGCAGCGTGACCATATATACACCGTGATCGTGTTGTTTTATTTTGGTTGTAGGAAAAAAAGAATTTTTAAACTCCCTTTTTTTGGGAGGTGGTGAGTGGCTAGCAGATGAACTTTATATGTGCAACGCTCCTTTTAAAACAGGCACCATGCGGGCTGTGCGGAGGCATCTGTTTCCCCAGCACTCGGCCCCGGGCCGGGGCATCGTCTGGGAGTGGCTGAGTGACGACGGCTCCTGGACGGCGTATGAAGCCAGCGTCTGTGACTACCTGGAGCAGCAGGTGGCCAGGGGCGCCCAGCTCGTGGACTTGGCTGCCCTGGGGTACAACTACACCGTCAACTGTGCCACCCACACGCAGACCAACAAGACTTCCAGCTTCTGCCGGAGCGTGCGGCGCCAGGCAGGGCCCCCGTACCCAGCGACCACTGTCATTGCCCCACCGGGCCACACGGGAGTGGCCTGCTCTTGCCATCAGTGCCTCGGCGGCGGCGCAGCCGGCCCCATGTCAGGCCGCTACCGCCACTCCATGACCAACCTTCCTGCCTACGCAGTCCCCCAGCCACCCCACAGGACCGCCGTTGTTTTGGGGGCCCACCAGGCCTTTTCTCCATACAACAAGCCCTCACTCTCTGGGGCCAGGTCTGCGCCCAAGCTGAGCACCGCCAACCTCTGGGCTGGGGCGCTGCCCTCCCTGGGGAACCAGCCCCTCTACCGCTCCAGCCTCTCCCACGTGGGACCTCAGCACCAGCCCCCAGGACTGTCCGCTGCCGGCGCAGCCAGGTATCTTGTGTTCCGCGGACGGTCGTTTTGTCCACCTGCATGCCTTGTTAGCGGGCTTGGGTTTCTGCTCTTCTTTAGCTGGGAGGACTCCCCCCAAATGCCCGCAGGCTCGGCACCTGCCTCCTCGGCTGTCCCTGCTGCGTCATCCCCTCTGCACGTGCCCCAGCGCTGCACGTGTCACGTGGTGCTGAGGTGCCACGCCGTGCACAGCCTTGTGTCCCGGGGAGCCTACCTGACTTCTGGCACTTGAGTGCTGGTAGTTGCCCCATGGGTTAAAACCAGTGATCCTTTCATTGACCCAGCAGAATTGGGCTCTCTGAGCAGTTAAAGGTTTTTTTGGCTGTGCCTGTATGCCACATAGCTGGGACCGGGTACCTGAGGACATTTCTCTAACTCCGTCTATGTGCCTGGCCCTGGAGTCACAGACATGGAAGGTTCAGCCCTCTTCCTGAGCCCACGGCCTCATCCAGGGAAGGCTGTGAGCCCAGCTTTGGTGCTTAAAAGTTGGTTGAGGAGAGAGCAAAGTGCTGAGCGTGTTGGGGGTGGCAGCAGGTGACATAGGGCAGCTGCTGTGCTGGTGCAGTCCATGTCTCATAGGGCACCCTGAGATGGTGAAATGGGCCCCGTCCAGACCAGGCGACGCTTTAAAGTGGGGAGACCCCTGAGTGGCCAGTGGTGGGTGCATCTGGGATGCTCAGAGACCTGTCAGTGATCAGGGGCCTCATCATCGATTATTATTGAGGGTCTGGGGCCTGGAGAACATTTTGAGAACTCAGAGTGTTAGCCGGGATGGGGGCTGATTTCTGAGAGGGTGACCTGGGCGGGTGGTGACTGGATGTGTAGGCCTGTGGCCGCCCTGTTTCCCAGGGAGTCAGCCCCTCGGTGCCACGTCACTCACCCAAGCCCGCCCACCAGCCCACCTGACCACAGGGAGGGCTGAAGCGCCCCAGTGTGGCCGAGACCTCCTTGGCAGCTTCTAGTTAGGCTTCAGAGGACCTTCCAGCTTCGATAGGACAGTGACAGCTGGCACTCACCAAGCGCATGTTATAGCCGGGCCCTGTTCAGCAGGCCGTGTGGGTGATTTCGTGAATCCTCCCAATGGCCATATGGTAGGGGGTGTCCCCAGCTTACAGGGGAGAACATTGAGGCTGACGAGGTTGGCAGCACAGCCAGGAAGTGGCAGAGCTGGGATCAAACCCAGGCCCCTTGTGGGGCATGTAGAGGTTTTTGTTTTGAAAAAAAATTGTTTTTAATAATTATTTTTTTGTATTTTGGCCATGCCGCATGGCATGTGGGATGGTTCCCCGACCAGGGATCAAACCCGGGCCTCTACAGTGAAAGTTCTAAATCCTGACCGCTAGGCCATCAGAGAACTCCCCACGTGGAGTTCTTGAAGCTGTCTAAAAGGCAGAGTGAGAGGAAGGCAGAGGGCGCCCTGAGGGGTGCGCGCAGAAGCCGCCAATACACAGAGGAGGGGATGGGCCCCCTGGGTCTGGGTGTCTTCCTACATGTACTCCAGGAGTTGGGGCACGTGGATCTGAGATCTCTCTGGGAATCGGGAGCACAGGGAGGTATGGCCTGGGCCTTCTCTGTGGGCTTGCACAGAGACATAAGCAAGCTGGGCTCCATGCCAACCCAGTCCCTCCCAGTGTTCTGTGAGGCCCCTCCCATTGCTCTGTGATGCCCCTCCCAGTGTTCTGTGAGGCCCCTCCCAGTGCTCTGTGAGGCCCCTCCCATTGCTCTGTGATGCCCCTCCCAGTGTTCTATGAGGCCCCTCCCAGTGCTCTGTGAGGCCCCTCCCAGCGCTCTGTGAGGCCCCTTCCAGTATGTGAGTCAGTCTGTTTTAGAGAAAAACATGTCATGTTTGCCAGCCCAGAAGGATTATCAGCAAGGTTGGAGCTGCTTTTATGACTAGGTCGGCTTTGCCTAGCCTCCTGGGGCTTATGTTCTTACAAATTAACTGGCAAGTTTCTAGATGGTTCTAGAGCTGGGATGCTGGGATTGAGCCAGGCGACTTCATGGGCTTTGTTGCTTTCTTTTGGTATGGGGCGCCCATCAGTCTCCCCTGATATTTCTCTGGTCTCCCCTCCCCAGCCTGAGGGCCCAAGAGGCTACTGAGGTGGGTCCCGTCAGTGCCATCCAGGCCAGTTACAGGATGGAAGGCTGCCGGGCCAGACGGCCTTACCTTTGCTGCTGAGTCGTGCGTGTTGCTGCTTACCCTGCTGCCCTACGTTGTAAACCAGGAGGGAGCTGGGCCAGCAGGCTCTGGCAGGTGAAACAGCCTCAAAGGGACCTGCCGCCTGAAGGGGGTGTTCACCTTGACCTCCTGCAGCTCTTCAGGAGCTGGGAGGGGTGACATTCACTCGCAGGGGCCAGTGTTCTCCTGTCTAATTTGTAGTGTGGTTCTCTGCAGTTAACCCTTCTCTAATGGTTGTTGTAGAGCCAGAGGGGGTTTAATAAATCCCTGATCTCTTAACCCAGCAGGGCCGGAAGGATTTGAAAACACCTGGCACCTTAGTCTTCTAGCGGCTGTGATATAGTTCTCAAAGCCAAGTGAATGGCAGCAGCATCAGGTGAAGGTTACCGTGTGTGTGGAGGAGAAAGTGTTTACTGGTAGCTGTTGGGAAGGACATGTGAGTCAGTGAAATCAAAATTTGTGGAACCCATGTGGTTTTTTTTTTTTGTAACCCACATAGTTTCAAATCACTTCTTGCTCAATCTGGGTAAAACCTTGGCTGACTGATTTGCCTGTTGCCCCAGGAGCCTTTCCGAGTAGGCAGTAATCCATGGAGAAGACACATGATTTGTCACTGAGCCGCTGGGTTTAAGTAAATTTCCTAGTAGCTGAAGTTTATCCCTTTAAGCACCAAAACTTGTGTTTCAGTGATGTTGGATGGAAGACTTTCCAAAATGTGTCACGCACAGATTCTGTAATAGAGGGTGTGCCGGCTGGTTTAGCATTCTGATGGCTTGGGTGGTGATTAGGGCCAGCCCTCTATTGCAGCTTTGGTGTGGCTAGGCCTTGGGGAGCTTAGTCCCTGCACTAACCCGGCCTAGGAAAACGGCTCACAGTTTGCTTTCGTCAGCTCTGTTCTTGCTGCTGCTGTTCTCGCAGCCTCTGAAAGCACCCCACGCCCTCCCAGTATCGGCCAGGCTCTTCAGACTTGTGGGATTGGGGTCCTGGGTTCCAGTGGGTCCTTGCCCCTGACTCGCTGTAGGCCCTCGGCTGCACTCTGTTCTCTTTTCCTCTCTGAAGGTTACAGAATTGGGCGGGTCAGTTTCTGAAGTTTCCTTCTGCTCTGATAGGGCTGTGGATTTCAGGATTTGGTGAGGGCCCTGCAGCTCTCCCGGAGCCGCCTGGCTCCGCTCAGACCTAGGAAACAGTGGGCACTTGGATGGTGCTGCAGATTGAGCCTCGCAGACACCCTGGGGGCCTTGGGGAATTGTTCACATCTTACAGAGAGAGAAAGTAAAACTCAGAGAGGGGACTTGACATGCACCAAGGCACCCAGCTTTTAAGCGCTGCGGGGGCTGGAAGGGGGTTGCCAGGTTCCACATCGTACGCTTCTTGTACTGCGCGTGCTCAGAGGTTCCCCGGTGGGTGGCAGCCTGTGGGGAGCTGGACCAGGCTTTGTGTGCCTCACTGTCCAGCCTTCTAGCTCTGCCCCCTGTTTGGGACTGTCCAGTCCTGTCTGCGGAGAAGACTAGAAATCTTCCTGTCTCGTGTTCCCAGCTCCGCTTGGAAGCTCCTGGAGACGGTCCCAGACAGGCAAGGCAGGGAGGGCCTAGTAGGTAGAGCCAGGAACCCAGCAGGTGGGACGGGTGCATGAGGCAGGTGAGAGGGAACTCTCGGAAGGGCACTTCATGGGCATATGGTGCCCCCACATCGGGGAACACTCTGCCAGTTTGAGCCCTTTAGAGGACGGTGCAGGGAGATCAGCGACCTCTGAGGTTCTGTCCACCCCTGAGAGTCCCCATCTTGGGACCCACTGGATCCTTTTACTGCTCTGTTCCTTCTGATCATAGCAGAGAAATGCATGGGGGAGGAGCTGGGGAAGGTCGCAGGGCAAGTGACAACATCTTGAGACCCCTAAGCAGATTGAACTTAGCCATGGTTCCTGGTCCCAGTTCCAGGGTGAGCTGCTCATTGGAAGCCTTACTGCCTGTCTGCTTTCTGCTCTAGAACCTAGGCCTTCTCCCTCAGATACGTGCCTCTCACCAGCAAGGGAGGATCCCGCTTCTCGGACCCCCGCTGGGCCAGTGATGCCCAGCCCACTGAGTAGCCCAGTGCAGTGGCAGAGCCAGGCTTCGGCTTTCCAGCCTCCTGGTTATGGGCTGAAGCTTAGTGCTCCCTGTCGGGTTGGCTTGGGAGATGAAGGATGCCTCCAAGGGCTGTATCTTCTCAAATTCTTCACTTCTAGAACCTGAGAATTGAAGAAACAGGCTCAGGAAGGGGGTGGGGCGTGGCTTCAAATTAAACGGAGTTTAGCGGGGCCAAAACCTTAGCCCTAGTGTCCTACACACCTAACCCCCCTCCGCCCCCCCGCCCCCCACATCATCAGAGCGCCTGATCCAGTTCCATTGTCCTCTTGGGGCTGAGGGTAGACAAGGGTGGCGGGAAGCGTGGCCGCACAGGTTATTCTGTTTGGCGAGAATAGTCCAGAAATGAAAACCAGTACCAGCCAGTGTGAAATTTTCTGATTTGGGTCAGAACCAGCAGCTCCCTATTGTGTCCACCAGTGGGACCCGTGACCCCAGGCCAGCAGTAGGGAAGGATCTGGGCAGCTTCCAGAAGCATTTGCCGTAACCAGGTGGTTGCTGGTTTGCCGACCGTTGTAAGGGTGGCACAGCAGACTGGAGGCGTCCATCGTTTCCTGAGCACCTTCCCAGCTCCTGGAGCCAGGCTGGGCCCAGTGGAACAGAGAGGAACATGCCCAGGGCCTGTCCTTGGGGAGCTCCAGTGGAGGGACTGCGTGGAAGGGTTTCAAAACCCTTCCCACTGCGTCACCTTGAACATGGGCAGTGCTGGATTGGAGGACGCAGTCACCGGGAGGGGGAGGAGGTAGCAGGCATGGCGGGCCATCTACGCCAGCTGTCCCCAGGGCAGGGCTCCCTGAAACCATAATGGCACGGGTTTATTACCGTTTAAAAATATAACGGCTTAAAACCAAGTGAGAGACCTGGAATTAGTCACTGTGGGAAGCAAGACCTTCATTGAAAAAAAAATTTCCTGTATTTTGAACTAATTTGGGATTTACAGAAAAGTCACAGAAATAGTAGAGTTTCCCCACCGCCCTTACTTGACTTCTCGCGTTAACGTCTTTCGTAAACATGGTGCGGCTCAGAACCAGAGAGAGGCTCACCACTGGTGCAGGACTGTTAGCTAAAGACTTTTCCCACTTTCATCGGTGTTTCCTCTGCAGTTGTCTTTCTGTCCCACGATCCCACTTTGCGTCCAGTTGTCATTTCTCCTCCACCTGTTCCTCCTCCTGTGGCCTCCTGTCGAATGGCCCTTAATTTGGGTTCGTCAGACGTTTTCTCATGACTGGACTGAGGTTATGCTGTTTTGGCAAGAACCACAAAAGGGGTGTTATTTCCTTCTCGGAGCATCTTCTCTTGGGGTTCCTGATGTTGGTTGGTCCTGTTACTGGTGGTACTGGTCTGGACCATTCAGAGTGGTTTCTGCTGGACTTCCGCTCTGCGGGGAACCACAGAGCCCTCCTTTTGATGAAGCTGGTGAGTTCATAATTCTTTTAGGTTTGTCTTCAGAGTCTCTGATTGTCCAGGAGAACGTTTTTTGACAGCCAAAGCTTCATTCTCGATACCTTGTAAAAAGATGAGGTTCATCCCCAGCAGTGTTCTTTCGTGTCGCTGCCCCGTCCCTGCCTACGGTTCCTTCCCCTCCCCAAGGCCCAACTTGGAGTTTGACTTTTGTCGCTTGATTTTCACAGGGGAAGTGATGGCGGGCCGGCCTCTGGCTTAACATCAAGTATTCAGATTCTCTTTCTTGGTTAGTTTGGGTCTGAGAGGAGTGAACATCAGATCTCTTTGCTCCTCCTTCCAGATACTCTTCATCGGGATCTTTTCTGTAAAAAAAGAAAAAAACAGAAGCCCTCACTGTACAGAGGCAGCTGCGGGAAGTGAAACCACAAAGGGGCCTCGGCAGCACCCGTGTCTTCCTCACTCGGTGTTTCTCCGGCTCCTGTTTCTGCTAAGTCGGCTCCGCACATTAAGCTCTGCCCTCTCTTCTCCCCAAGTGCCTCCCTGCCCAGCGGTCCAGTGAGCAGCCCCAGGAGTGTCCCCGCCACGGTGCCCGTGCAGATGTCGAAGCCCAGCAGGGTCCAGCAAGCTCTCGCAGGTAGGCAGGCTGCTCCCTGGTCCAGGTTCCAGAACAGACTGTGTCTGGCAGGACCAGGATTTGGGGGCAGGGGAGAATGCGTGGGGTAGGGGGAGGAGATTGTGGGGCAGGGGTCTTGTTACCCTGTGTGTTCTCATGGAAACCCAGAGAGGCTCCTTGGGGGGCGGTGCCTTTTTTCAGTGATGGTGTATCCCCCAGCGGGTGAGCCTGGGTGGCTGTTCGTTTGTCTCGGTGTTGGGGCGGGGGCGGGGGGGGGGGGCGCGGGGGCGGGGCGGGTCATGCCTAATGACGGTGGGTGCCCTGGTGTGGCCTTTCCCCATCTTTTACGTTTTCATATCGCCTTGAATTATGGTTCAGGAGTCACTTTGCTGTCCCCAAATGCTTTAGGCATTTCCCTAAAGGGGCCCCCTGGGGAACTCATAGAACTCTTGGCTGGAGTTAACATTTTGAGTAAGTGCTTTTGTGTCTCTCTAGATCTTTTGTTAACCTTACACCTTTGAACTGTTGTTTTTTTTAATTGATTAATTATTTATTTTGGCTGCGTTGGGTCTTCGTTGCTGCGCAGGCTTTCTCTAGATGTGGCGAGCGGGGGCTACTCTTCGTTGTGGTGCGCGGTCTCCTCGATGCGGTGGCTTCTCTTGTTGCGGAGCACGGGCTCTAGGTGCGCGGGCTTCAGTAGCTGTGGCACGTGGGCTCAGTAGTTGTGGCTCGTGGGCTCTGGAGCACAGGCTCAGTAGTTGTGGCGCACGGGCTTAGTTGCTCCGCAGCATGTGGGATCTTCCCGGACCAGGGCTCGAACCCATGTCCCCTGCATTGGCAGGCAGATTCTTAACCACTGTGCCACCCGGGAAGCCCCAAACTTTTAAAAATTCCTCTTGCGGGTATTAGGAAGCCATTGAAAGTCATTTTTTAACTTATGGGAAATGTAAAATCGTACTTGAAGATACACTGAGGAGTCTGGTGAGCCTCCATCATTTAAAGATGGAGGCAGAGGAGTGAGCTAACCAGACTGGGTGTTGGGTGAGTCACTGTGGTAGCACAGGGGGGATTGGAGGGGACCAGTCCTAGAGGCAGGGAGACCCTGTGGACCTGGACTTCATGCCTCAGGTGGGCCAGCCACTGACTAGGGTCGTGGCCGTAGATGGAGGTAAGGGCTTCTGACTTGGTGGTTGGACTGGTTGTGAGAGGGAAGGAATGGAATGAGGCCTGGTGTACAGCTGCCGACAGAGATAATAAATCATCATAATTAAGGAGGAAGGACTAGGGGTTTTGCATGTGTGGTAACTCATTTCATCCCAACAGCAACTCTGTGGGGGAGGAACTTTGATTCCCATTTTATATTTAAGGAAAGTGAGGCTCAGAGAACTCCGCAAACCTCCCAGGGCCAGCCAGCCAGCCCTTGGCAGAGCTGGGATTCAGCCCCAGGCATTCTTGGCCTCAGAGTCTGGGCTTCTCGCTGTGAGGCGATGGGGCGATGGGTGGGGTGATGGCTGTGGCTGTCGACAGGCGGAGCTGTCCCAGAGGCAGGGAGGTTTGGATGAGCAGTTCAGAAGAGCGGCGTGGGGTGGAGTGGGGCGGCCCGTTCCCGCCCCCCGGGAGTGAGCTTACGGAGACCCAGTTGGATGCCGGGAAGAAGAGCCCTTGAAGGACATGGAAGGACCAGTCAGAGGCGGTGAGGACGGTAGAGTGGGGCCGGGAAAGCCCCAGGACGGGAGGCTTTCAGTCTGTCAGCTGCTCAGCCATCAGCCCTTTGCTGGGGCAGAGAGAACAGTGAGCAAAAATGTGGTGACTAGGAAGTCCCTGCCCAGTTTAGGTCTTCTCGTGGCATCCGACGCCACAGGTGTTTCAGGCCTGTGTGTGTGTGTGCGTGTGCGTGCGTGTGGTGCTGGTCTTGTTGGAGAGAGGTTGTGGGGGAATGGGCCCAGCCTGCACGCGCCCAGCCCCGTTCAGCTCTGCGGTCACTGAGGCCTTAATACCAATGCCGTGATCACCTCTGCACACAGCTCAGAAGTGGTCTGGGTACTGAGGAGCTCTTGAGGCTGGACCGTCTGCAGGCCACATCCTCTGTGTCCCCTGCCGCCTGGGCTCTCACAGCGATCCTGGAGGCAGGCAGGTATTTTAATCTCCATTTGCTTGTCAGGGAAACAGACCCCAAAGGTTCAGGAACTGGGTCCCAGTGAGGAAAGAGTAGTAGACGAGCCAGCGGCCAGACGCCGCCCAGTCTGAATACGTGGCTCTGGCTCGTACCTGAAGCTGGGGCCGCTGTGTGGGGCACCAGGGAACCAGGGATCCTGCGCCCACCCCCAAGAAGCAGGGTCTGGAGAGACCTCTCAGCTGGGCTGCAGTTACGGATTCGATTATGGATTTGGGAACACGCTCACCGCATTGGGGTGAGCACCTGGGCACAGGGGTCTGCAGGTAGGTCTCCAGCCCGGGGATGTACTGCGGAAGGGCTGCGCGCCCCTCTCGCTGGTGGAAGATCCATCTCCGTGTCAGCCAGGCGCGTCAGGTGCTGGCTTTGCTGCTTGCAGCCCGGCCAGGGCCTCTTCTTAAGGGGGGTGGGGAGGAGTGGGCCTCCGACACCGGGGCCAGGCTCCCACCCTGCGAGGGAGGAGGAGTGTCTGCATTTTACGCTACCAAGACCTGCCCAAGACCGGTCAGCCAGTGGGGAGTGGTACTGGCCTTGAGCCCAGCTTGGTAAGCCAGCGGAGGGTAGGCTTGGACCTGAGCCCTGGTCACTAGACGGAAGGCCAACGCTGGACATCAGAAAGGGGGTGTCTGCACATCTGCCCATGTGCAGGACCTGCCAGGGGCTCCGGCAGATCAAGACGAGAGCAGGAAAAGCCGTGGCTATCCAAGCTGTTACGCCGATTTGGGGGGGCTGTCCCTGAGCCCTTGCTATTGGGGAAGATGTGATGGCCCCTCTTGGTCCCCCCCCCCTGCCCAATCCTGTCCACTGGACGCCGCTTTTGTGAAATGTTAGCTCTGGGGTGATTTTCACACTTCTTCACAAGAAGGCAGACCTGCAGGGCATGGGCTGCTTGTCTGTGGACGTCTAAGTTAGGACTTCGCTGTCTGTGTCTCGAGTTCGGAGGAGCAGTTCCTGCATTGAGAAGGGCAGGGGCGTTGTTCACGCTGGCCTCTTGCGGGGCTGATGTGGTCGCCTCAGGGATGTCTGCTCCCCAGCAGGCAGGGACCGGGCACCTCTTGGGGCAGAGTGAAGGAGACGGAGCAGGAGGGGGACGGGGCTGTTTCAGATGGGCAGTCAGGGAGGGGCTGCCGCTCAGGGAGGGGCAGCCAGTGCAGAGGGGTCTGCTTGATGGGCGGGAACTGGTGCATGTTGGGGCAAGTACAAAGCGCCAGGGTTCTCCTAAGGGATTGTTCTCTTTTTTTCCATCTATCTGCCCCCTGTGCCTGCTTGTCATTTGGCCCACCCGATGTTTAGTTCCAAGGGAACCCACAATTTGAGCCCAGGAACAACCTTGGGATGCTTGTGGCATCGAATCACCTGATGAGCGGGCACCCAGTGTCCAGCCTCGGTCTTCTGATGTGCACTTTGGTGTCTCCTGGGAGTGACCACCACAACGCACCCTGTGCTGCCCAGGCTGCCGGCCTCTGCTTCTGTCCCTAACTGGGCGCATTTGCCCCATTGAGAGCCTTTGTTCTCTGGTGGAGGCCACAGTGGGCCCCAGTGGATCCCGAGGCCAGATCTCTCCTCACCGCTCTGGATCGCCTCTGGAGTGGGCAGCAGGTCCACCTGGCTTGTCCGCTGTGCCCAGACCCCTTGCCACATTCTGAGCACCTAGAAAGCCCCTCTAAGGGAGGTGCCCGAGGGGAAGCCCAGAGCTCCCTTCCCTGGGGGAGGAGGTGCTTTTGAGCCTGACTAGGGACAGGGAGGATTGGGTAGAGGGTGTGTGGACAGCAGGGTGCCTGAGAGTGTGGCAGGAACGGGGACTCCAGCGGGAGGACGTGCTGTGTTCCAGGTCCTTGGGGAGCGCGGGTGAGGGTCCAGCTAGGATGCGTGTGGAGCGCCAGGCTGAGGAGTGAGGCATCCCTCCTGCAGGCATCAGGAAGGAGGGACAAGGTTGGACAGGCCACTCGGCGCGGCTGCCTGCTGCGGCTCCCTCACGCTGTGGGCTGCCCCTGTGCTCCCACCCAGGGCAAAGGGGACCAGAGAAAGAAGCCACGGCCTGGGACCTCAACTGCTCCAGAGGAGCGGCCACAGGGGCCATGGGGACGCCTCGGTGGGGGAGCAGGCCCGGGGCAGCATTCCCGCTGGCCCGCCCCGCCCCAGCAATGGCGCTGAAGGCACCTAGGCGGGCCAGGTGCGGCGTGCAAAACAGGCAGCGCAGCACGGGGGCAAGGTGAGCAGGAGCTGAGGGGCGCGGCCGAGGGGGCACAGAGCGAGGACCGTGAGCTCCAGCCCATCTGCGTCTCCATAGCTTGGCTGCGCCCTTCTGTGTCGCCCGTCTGCTCTCCTTCCTCATGCCTGGCACAGAGAGGCGCCCACCAGAACTGCTGAGGAGGCTTCCGGGGGTGGCGTTCTGCCCTCTGCCCTCCCGAAGCAACAGACTCGCCCACTGCATGCTCCAGGCACGGGCTGATGGGTTGCTTGCACAGACCCCTTTGGAGCTTGGGGCCAAGGCTCCCACCAGCCAGGCATTTCACTGGTTCCCGACCCAGAGCTTAGCCCTGCCGGCCCGGATAGGCCCTGGCAGCCTCGAGCAGCCGGATTCCCCGGGGAGATCGGCAGGTCCTGATGGCCATTGACAGTGCCAGCTGGACACAGCTGGGGTTTGTGGAGGTCACATGCTGAACGACTCCTTCTAACGTTTCTCCCCTCTCTGCATGTCTGATCTCGCACCCCGTGTAGGCATGACGAGTATTCTGATGTCAGCCATTGGACTCCCTGTGTGTCTTAGCCGCGCACCCCAGCCCGCCAGCCCTCCCGCCTCCTGTCTGGCCTCTAAAAGTCACAGCTCAGTTAAGAGATTGAGGAAAATGTCCATGAAAGGTAGTTCCTGCTCACAAATACTCTCTGGCCTCTGCTAAGCCTCCTCCGAGTCTTGCTGCCTCTGACTCTTCTGCACCGAACGCTCTTCTCTGACCACCACGGCCCTCCGCCGCTTCCTTCGAAGGGCCAGCCCATGTGGGGCTACTTCAGAGGGGTCCCCCGATGACCACTGCCCTGGCCGTCACACAGCCAGGGAGGAAGGGGTTTCAGAACCGTTGGAAGGCGCTGTGAGTTTTAACAGAACTCAGGTGGAGGGGCCTGTGGGTAGTAAGTTCTAAACCTGCCGTTTCTAAAGCCGATGATGGCTCTGCTTCCATCGTTGGGCCAGAGAAGTGCGACCGCTCTGGTGACCTTCAGATGGTGTGAGAGGGGGCATGGCTCTGGCTCCGCCAGTCCTGGGTTTCCAGAGCTCACGGGCTTTGTGAACTCACACAAGCCTCCCGTTCATGAGCGGAGCGGCTCCTACAGGGCAGGTTGCTTGTGGGAGGAATAGGAAGTAAATCGCTTGGGAAGCGCCTGGCAAGTAGCAGTAGTACGGTGGTTGCTCTCATCCTGTTCACTGCCTGTCTAACCCCCGCCCAACGGGGGAGGAGGGAGGCCAGGGAGGGGCGGGGCTAATCCTGCCCAGCCCCGCCCCACCCCTAGCAGTCACTCCTGCCCTGCTCCCCCTTCTTACTCTGCCTCAGAGGCTGGCAGCTTCCTGAGGCACTCGGGTTTGCCCCGGGAAAACAAGGCTCTCAGCAGACGCTCTGGCCTTCCTGGGCTCGGATGTCCCTTTCGTGGGGTAGGCGGTCACCTGGCTGGCCCCCTTTGAGAAAAGTGGCTCCTGGTGAGTTACCTCCAGTTCTGAAAGGCTGCCTGGGCACAGGCAGGCAGAGAGGTAGGGGTGCTGAGCCAGGCCTCACCGGAGGGATCCCAGGGTCCAGCTGGAGACTGGCCTGTCCCTAGTCGACGTGGCCTTCTAGACCAGTCTTTTCTAGAAGGCCTCCTCCCCTCAATCAGAATAGAGTCCCAGCCAGCAGGATGGCCACCCGGTGCCGGTGGGGACTGTGCTTTTGCCTGGCTTTCTCCCCAGCGACCAGAGTCAGAGTCCTAGAAGTCTGTGTGTATGGGGGTGCGTGTGCGTGTGTATGGGGTGCGTGGTCTTCCTTTGCCTCTAGCTGTTTTTCAGGTCATAGCAGCTAATGCCCTTACAGTGATCACGGCTTTGGTTGGTATTGGGTCCACTTTTTAGATGAGAGGACTGAGACTCAGAGGTGACCTGATTTGGTCCCAGCCCAAGAGCCAGAATCCAACCTGACATCACCAGGTCCCTGCCCCTCTGCTCCCCTCATAACTGTCACCTGGCCTTCTCTGGTCTAGAAGGAGCTCAGGCTTGTAAGTCTTTGCAGCCACAGGCTGATGGCCGTGAGCTTGGGTTCACACCAGAGCCCCTCTGGTCTCAGGGTCTAGGACCAGGAGCTCCCCCTGACCTTGAGACAGGATGACAAGCCCTGCCGGGATCACTCTTCCCAGGCTGCGCTGGTCTCCCTGGTCCCTCCCCTGTGCTCCGCTTTGCTGTCCCTCTGTGATTCTGCAGCTGCCTCTGCCTGGAGAACCCCTGCCATGCTGATTCTCTAGCTGGGGGCGTTTCTTCTCCTTGGGGTGGGGCCTGTTTGGTGCAGGGCCGCTCCGGGCTTCCTGCACAGGTGCACACAGAGAAGTGGGAGGTTTCGGGAGGAGGGGTCGGGGACAGAACTGTGGGCAGCTTAGGAATGGAGGAGGCATGTCACTGACACCCCACAGTCCAGGGACAAGCCCAAGAAGACTGTGGTTTGTTGTGGCCGTGTGGCCGTCACCTGCAGTTGGTATGCACACAGATGTCCCCATGGGGTAGGCACGCACTACACACTTGACTCAGAAAACTTACTTCTCTTACCGAGACTTTCTTACAAGAATGATGAAAGCTGAGTAAAATAACACGGCCAGAACGTGCTCCAGAGTATCTGTTTTAGAAGCTGCTGTTTGACTCTTCCGCATGTCCTCTGAAGCCTGGGACGGGTTTCCTGAGTGAAGGTGTGCAGGGCCCCGTCGTGGCTCCTGAGGGCTGTGGCCAGCTGCTGTCTCTGCCCCTCTTCCGTCTCCTCCAGGGCTCCTGGGGCCGGGCCCCCGGCGTGGGCCGGGAAGGGCTCAGCTGGCAGAGCTCCGGGGCGTTCTGCGCCTGGCCCAGGTCTCTCCTCTCCTGCACGCTAACCTTCCCCTCTGAGCCGCCCTAACATCCCTCCCAGCAACTTGGACCGCTCCCTGTCGTCCTTTCTCTCTCGTTCCAGCATCTCCAGTTCGCTCTCCTCGGGACACCGCTTATGTTCTTCTCTCTTTTAGGAGGGCCTCCAAAGCCAGAGCCAGAGCAGGTGATAAAAAACTACACAGAAGAGCTGAAGACGGCCCTGGATGAGGTGCGTGTCACGGGAACCACGGTGCTTTTGGTTTTGTTTGGAAATGAGGGGTGGCTTAGACGAGGATGCCAGCCTGTCCCCCGCTGGAAGGTGCCTCGTCTAGAGAGCCATCCTGCCCCCCGCTGTTGGGAGGGCCGGTCGGGGTTCCTGTGGCTAACCCAGCCTGCCAGACCCCCGTCACGGCTGCACCTGGGCCTCTCTCTGCTGAGCCTCGCTTCGGGGCTGTGGCACCACTTTTCTCCGATTTGCGTGGAGGGTCCTGGAGAATCTGGAGGGGCGGGGGTCAAGGTCATTCGTGCCAGTCCAGAGCCGAGGACTCTCTCGCCTCTTTCTCCTGCAAACTGAGTGCATAGGAAGTATCTGGTTGGTAAAGGTTTGGACAGAAACCTGAAAGTCATCCTCACGTCGGCCCCTCCCTCCAGCCTGCTCTGCCCTCCCCCTTCACAGCTGTCTGTCTGTCTGTCTCTGCCTTTGTGCTCACCCAGCACAGCTGGGCTGCTTTGCCCCCCGCCACCCCCCCTCCAAGCTGCCGGCTACACAGCTGACACGTGGCCACGATGACTTAGTACCCGCTGCTCACAGCCTCTCAGCTGGGCCCCCGACGTGTAAGACGAAGAAGCCCCAGCCCCGAACGTGGCCGTCAGGGCCTCCTGGGATCTGGTCCTCCCCCCACCTCGCTTTGTCTCCTGCACCCTGGTTGCCCCTTGCCCTGCAGGTGCGCCGCCCCTCCCAGCGGAAACGCTGGCTCCTGCTTCAGAACGCTTTCTTCTCTCTACCTGAGGGCCCGGGCCCGTTCCCATGCTTGTGCGTCTGACAAGTTCCCTTTCCCTTGTAAAGCCCAGCGCTGAGGGCCCCTCCCGTACTTACCTCTCTGCCTGGCTGTTCTGGCCGCCCTCTCCGCCTGTGCTTCAGTTGTTACACCGGCCCCCACGCTTGGTGCCGCCTGCCGTCTCCTCTGCTGTGGTGACGGTGAGCCCTCTGTGCTCCCAGCCTCCGGAACAAACAGCTGTCAGATTGAGTTAGACTGGGGTGAGGCACTTCAGCAGACGAAGCTCGATCCTACAGGACTCACCTGCTGTGGCACAGGGGCCATGGGTGAGCGTTCCCCGGGTTGGGTCTCCCTCCAGGACTGCATCATCTGTATGGAGAAGCTGTCCATGGCGTCCGGCTACAGCGACGCGACCGACAGCAAGACCTTTGGGCCGGTGGCTGTGGGCCGCTTGGCCAAGTGCAGCCACGCCTTCCACCTGCTCTGCCTGCTGGCCATGTACTGCAACGGAAACAAGGTACCCATGGCCCACCAGGGCCAGGGGTGGGGGTCGGGGTCTCCTTCCCGCAGCCTGTACCTGTCATGTTGCACTTAAGCAGGTGACTGGGGCTGCCGTGTGAGAGGCCCAGGACCTGCTCGGAGGCAGCCTTGAGATGTCTGCAGCCCTGGCCCTGCAGCAGGATGGGCCTGGGGGTGGCAGGCGATGCCTGGCTGCCCTGCCTTTGGTGTAGTTTAGCCGGAGTGGACAGGTTAGGGGGACGGAGAGAACGAAGGCCTGTGGTGGGCCTCGGGGCCTGGCCTTTGCGCAGTGTCCCCGTGCCATCGTGTACCAGCCAAGATGCCAGCTTATCAGTCCCTCGTTCACAGGGTTTTCTTTTTCATCTTAAACATGACTCGGCTGTGCAAGCTTTTGCTCATAAACCTCATTTTCTTACCTGATGCCAGTCTCTGGGTACCTTGTCCCTTTAATGAAAATTGCACGAGTTTCTGGGTTAAAACTTATCTTTCCAAGGAAGCTTCTAGAATCAAGTTTCTTTGTGAGGAGGCTGCCTGGGAGTTGGGCAATGCGCCTGGGACCCACTGTGTGACTCGGGGCCAAACCCGTGTCCCTGTGGGCCTCTTTCCCATCTAGCCAGCGGGGTGGCTGGCCTGGGTGCCCGCTCAGGGGCCCCGACTCAGTCCACGGCATTCTGCCTTGTCCCAGGATGGAAGCTTGCAGTGTCCTTCCTGCAAAACCATCTATGGGGAGAAAACTGGAACCCAGCCCCGGGGGAAGATGGAGGTGTTCACGTTCCAGGTGTCCCTCCCCGGCCACGAGGACTGTGGGACAATCCTTATAGTCTACAACATTCCCCATGGCATTCAGGTAAGGGGCCCCGGCACAAGAGAAGCCTCCTCGGATCTTTCTGGAATCAGCCCTTCTCGGGTGCTGTCCTTTCTCTCCTGCCCCCTCCTAGCAGTCTGCGCACCCCGGGTCACTGTGAAGGTGCCTAGGCTGCCAAGTCAGGCCACCAGCAACCAGGAGGCACTGGTGCTGGGGGCTAGAGCCAGCTCCTAGGGTTGTGGAAGCAAAGAGGTGGCCCTAGCCCTTTCCTGAGCCAGGGAGGGCTTCCTGGAGGCAGAGGCATCTTCGCTGGACTTGTACTGGGTGGAAGGCCAGCAAGCGTCCAAGCAGGAGGAGCGCTTTTATTGGGCCGGCCGGCTGGCGAGCCCACAGGGGCAGAGCACAGGGTGGGGAGGGCTGGCTGGCCTGACTGCTCTTGAGGGACCTGCTCAGTGGCCTGATCCAGGCCTGCGTGGGGCGTGCGGGGACAGGAACCCAAGCTCATTGGGGACCCAGACGGGAGCCCTGGCCCCTGAGGTCTCTGCCTTGGACCAGGTGGGGGGATCTCAGAGCCTGGGCAGGTTGGGAAGATACTGGGTAGTGGGGGCCAGGAGTCTGACGGGATGTCACTCGGTTTTGTCTAATTATGTGCTTCCCCTGGTTTCCCTCCAGTTCTCTGTGGCTCAAAGTGAAATTTAGAAACACTCCAGACAGCAGTAGAGCCACAGAGCGGGAGGGGACTTTGGAGTTGTACATGGCGTGTCACCGTGTGGCCGAGGGCACAGCAAGGGCTGTGCGCGGTTCCAACCGCCAGCCTCTGTCCAGCCTGCCGCCACTGTCTCGGGCCCCACTCCGGCCACTTCTGGAGCGAGAGTGGAGGGGCTGTGTGCCCGAGGGAGGGTGTCAGGCAGCGGGCCCTGCCATCCGGTCCAGAGAGCCCCGTGCCCGGAGGGCCGCCAGCGACGCAAGCGCTTCCGTCCCAGCCTCTAAAGGGTCCGGGCTCTTTGGGGAAGTGGAGGGAGTTAGCCGGAGTGTCTGACACCAGGCTGAGCGGCCCGGGTTCAGGGAGGGCAGTCGTGGGTGGGCGCCGTGTTCACGGTGGGTCTTCAGAGCGAGATGTGAGACGGCAGTCGATTTGGTTGGTCACTTGAGCGCAGCAGTAGCCCCACCTGGAAGGCGAAGGGGTGAGGCTGGGCACCCGTGTCCGAGCACCTCTGCAGCCGGAGGGCCCCTCAGCTCCCACTCCCCGCATCTGTGTGCCTCCTGCAGGGCCCGGAGCACCCCAACCCTGGAAAGCCGTTCACCGCCAGAGGGTTTCCCCGCCAGTGCTACCTTCCGGACAACGCCCAGGGCCGCAAGGTGAAGGCCCGGCCGACGCCCCTGGGAGTGGCCCCCCTTCCCCCCGGCTGGCAGCTCTGGGCCCAGCTGTCTGTGTGCGGTGGGAGGCGGTGGGGTGGGGAGGGCCCAGCTCGGCGGCCACACCAGATCTGCCTCTGCTCACCTTACTGCGACAGGCAGAGGGGGATGAGGCCTGGGGGCCGGCTGGGGTGTGGGCCACCCCTTCCCGGGGACCTGCTGTGCGTTAGGCATCCCAGGTGCCCGGGGTCCAGGGAGAGACGAGCTGACCTCACAGGTGCTCCAGTGGGAGGACGGGATGGGGAGGCGCTGGGGCCGTTCTACCTGGGTGGTGGGGGCGGTGGCCTGCAGAGCCACCTCTGCACTGAGACCTGAGTTGGGACTTCCCAGCTCTCCGAAGGCCAGGGAAGAGCATGCCAGGCAGACAGAAGAGCCGGTGTGGTGGCTTTGGGGTGGGGACAGCTCCGAGGGTGTGAAGAGGCTTAGGGAGGTGAGGGGGTGTCGGGGTGGGTGTCTGCTCTCCAGGCCAGCCCCGGGAGCTGGGGTTTGTTCTAAGCGCTTGTTCACGGCCACCTTCTTCCCCCCCTCCCCGCCATTCCCTCCCCTTCCCCCTCTTCCTGCCTCCCCACCATCCCCTCCCCCTTGGGCAGGTCCTGGAGCTGCTGAAGGTGGCCTGGAAGAGGCGACTTATCTTCACAGTAGGGACGTCCAGCACCACGGGGGAGACCGACACGGTGGTGTGGAACGAGATTCACCACAAGACAGAGATGGACCGCAACGTGACAGGCCACGGCTACCCCGACCCCAACTACCTGCAGAACGTGCTGGCCGAGCTGGCCGCCCAGGGGGTGACTGAGGACTGCCTGCAGCAGCAGTGAGCTGGGGGCGCAGGCGTGCCCCCCCGGAGCCCAGGCTGCTCCTGCCTGCCTGTCCCCATCCCCCGGCCCCCCCAGGCCCGGGTCTGTGTGGGAACTGGGCGAGCCTGGGGGTCATACTCGTGAGGGCTTTGGATGCAGCTACCTCAGTGCGTGGGCCCCTCCGTCCTCGGTGGGCCGCGTTGGGCCATCGGTGCTGGGGGCCCTGCAGGGGGTGAGGAGAGACTGCCTGCTGTGCCCCCAGCCAGGGGCAGGCCTGGGTCTGGGTCAGCTTCTCATACCTCAGATGTTCTATTTGCAATAAATGCCCTATAGCCAAAGTCAGCGGGCCCTGGTGGGTTTGTCAGCGGAGAGGCTGCGTGTGTGTGTGTGTGTGTGTGTGTGTGTGTATGTAAAATCTGATGTGTGAAGGCCAGCACACACATGTCCTGCTGCGTCAGAACAGGAAGGGGCCTTACAGGCTGCCCATCCAACCCCCTAAATGAAGAAACCAAGGCTACAGTGAGGCCAGGAGCCAGGCGCTGACCTGAGCTGCTCCCGGGCCCCGCCCCAGTTCTCCTTGCAGTGCGCAATCCAGCAGCTCTGCCAGGGCCCCTCCCATCTCTTTCCCCAGGGTTCTGGCTTTCTAAGTACTGCTCACATGGGGCAGGTGCTGCTGTCTTCATTCTACAGGTGAGGAAACAGGTTCAAGGGTACAGTGACAGCGGTAGAGCCGGGACTGGAATCCCGGACAGGATTGATCTGACCCCATCCTCAAAGTTCTCATCCTTCCCAACCTTCTTAGAAGGAGGATCCAATACTCGCAGGCTTGCTGTCTGCCTGGCGGGGGTGAGTGTGGCCTGGGGCTGAAGAGACACACACCCGAGTGACGTAAGGGATGTGGGGGAGGGGGTTTGCGGGAGGGGGTTTGCTTTCACAAGCCCTTCTCGTATAAGAAAAGGACTGAAATTCTATGTTAGAAGCGCTGGTACAAAGATGAATATATGTTAGAGCATTTTCTTTCATCTAGAAGTTCCTTTTTTTTTTTTTCTTTCTGATTTTAAAAGAAATTTAAGCATTTTTGTGGACCCCTAGCAGTATCGTGGGCCCTGGGCACTTGTGCCCACTGCCTCGTGGAGAAGTTGGCTGGGGAGGGCAGGGAGGCCTCCATAGAGAAGCTGGACCCCAATCCTGTTTGGTTCCATGGTGAGACTCGCTCCACTGCTCACAGGGCACAGGAGTTGGGTGGGCACCCGAGTGCCACCCTTATGCTCGGCTCCCACCATTACAGCACAGTGAGAGTCAGAATCGGAGAAAATGTTCGCAAATCTTATGCCTGATAGGGGTCTCGTATCCAAAAAATGTCAAGAACTCTTACAACTCAACAATAAAAAGACAGATCCCCAATTTTTTTTAAATGGGCAAAGGACTTGAATAGATATTTCTCTGAAAAAGATACACAGATGGCTGACAAGCACATGGAAAATGCTCAACGTCATTAGGGAAACGCAAATCAAAACCACAAAGTGATACCACTTCATACCCATTAGGGTGGTTATTATAAAAAAAAAAAACAGGGAATAAATATTGGTGAGGATGTGGAGAAATTGGAACCCTCATCCACGGCCGGTGGGAATATAAAGTGTAGCCACTTTGGAAAACAGCTGGGCAGGGCCTCAGAAAGCAGTTACCGTATGACTCTGCAATTAAAACTACCTGGTGAGTATCCAAGAACTGAAAACATGCCCACGGTAACACTCACAATAGCCAGAAAGCGGGAGCAACCCAAATGTCCATCAGCTGATGCACGATAAACAAAATGTGATGTATCCATGCAACGGAATGCTGTTCAGCCAGAAAACAGAATGAACTATTAACACATACAACGTGGACGACCCTTGAAAACATTATGCCAAGTGAAAGAAGCCAGACAGAGAAGGATGCACTGTGTGATTCGCTTCATATGAAATATCCAGAAGAGGCACATCCAGAGAGACAGAAAGTAACTTAGTGGTTGTCAGGGGGAGGGGGGATTGGGAGTGACTGTTTTAATGGGGTGGTGAAAAGGTTCTGGAATCTGGTGATTTATGGCCAGTGAAATTTAAGAGGAAGTCTACAGGGGCTTCTAGGAAAGCTTATGTTTTTCTGATAAAAGAGAGAGATTGGATAACACCTCCCTGCTCCTCCCTTCTTCCTACTTTGATTGAGGATATGATGGCTGGAGCCACAGCAGCCATATTGCTACAATGAGAAAAAGGCCAAGAGAATCTCAGAGACATTGACCCTATCGTCATTTGACCAAGCCCATGCCAGCAGCTGTCCTCCTCCAGGATTCTTGTAAATAAAAATAAATCCCTCCTAGTTTAAGCAAAAAAAAAACAAACCCCCCCAAAAAAACCAAAGCCCCCAGAAAACAAAAACCACTGAACTGTACATTTTAAAATGACATGGTATGTGAATTATATCTCAATTTTTAAAACACATATAGGGAATTCCCTAGCAGTCCAGTGGTTAGGACTCCACGCTTTCCCTGCCGAGGGCCTGGATTCAGTCCCTGGTCAGTCAGGGAACTAAGATCCCACAGGCCGTGTGGCACAGCCAAAAAAAATTAAAATTTAAATACTTAAAAAATAAATACTTAAAAATTTAAAAATACATATATAGTGAGAACCCGTGGGAGTAATGTAAGTAGGGCAGGTGTCCCCAACCCCCAGGCCGAAGACTGGTACCCATCTGTGGAAAAATTGTCTTCCACGAAACCAGTCCCTGGTGCCAAAAAGGTTGGGGACCACTGAAGTAGGGGACTTGCTAGCTGTCAAGGGCTCTACAATCCTTTCTCTGAGTCCATGTGATTCCTTTGGACGAAGGAACTGGGGAGTGAGGGAGGATGTGGCCTTGTGGAGGAAGGGCAGGGTGCAGAGATGGCAGCAGGGCCAGGGGCGGTGATGGGGCTGGCGTCAGACAGGTTGGGGCTGCCCACTTCCTTCCCTGGGTGGGGATGGAAGGTCAGAGGGAGGCTCCTGGCACCTGGGGTGCAGGAATCTCTGGCATGTGGCCCTGAGCCCTTGTTTCCAGAGATCAGCCCTCCTCCCCAGGGCTGGGAGGCTGGGTGGGACCCAAATTCAGACATGGGCCTCTGGGGTGACCTGGCCTGCATCTTGGGGGTCCAATGACCTCTCTCGCTCAGCTCCAGCGGCCCTGCTCCTGCCCTCCTAACTGGCCCTGGCCTGCCCCACACCGGAGCCCTGCCCAGCTCCCTCCCCGTGGTGGGCTGGGCTGGGAGGAGGAGTGAGGGTGAACTTACATTTTCAGGTCTTTCAAGCCGTCGGCCAGGGGGCAGCCTGACTAACCAGCTCCTCCAGGCCCACGGTGTTGGGGGAGGGGGTGAGGCCGAGCCCCAGGCTGTGGATGCGTGGGTGCTCTGCAGGCCATCATGGGGCTCCCCTGGAGGCAGCTGCGCCCTTGTCTGCTGCTCCTCGTGGTGCTGGTGTGGCCCCAGCCCTGCACGAGCCTGGGTGAGTGGGGGTCCCGGGATGGGTGCCCCTGGCCAGATCCAAGGGGCTGGGGCACCTGCCGGGACCCTGGGAGCCCGCCCCCTCTGATTGGGAGAGGCAGCCCCAGGGGCAGTGGGCCCTGGGCCCTCACCCCTATCTCCACGGCCGCAGAGCTCATCCCCTACACGCCGCGGATAACAGCCTGGGACCTGGAAGGGAAGGTCACGGCCACCACGTTTTCCCTGGAGCAGCCGCGCTGTGTCCTGGAAGGGCACGCCAGTGCTGCCAGCACCGTCTGGCTGGTGGTGGCCTTCAGCAACGGTATGTCCTGGTGCAGGCCTGGGGCTGAGGACAGCTGCAGGGGCCCTGGGAACCCCTCACAACTGGGTGTGGATTGGGAGTTTGGGCTTTATCCAGAGCGCGCTCTGAGAGGTGACAAAGTCTCACGTGAGGCTTGGAGGGCCAGGGCTGGAGGCCTTGGACCCAGCCAGGGGCTGTGGTGAGGTCCCGTCCGCTCCTCCCCTCCGGCCCCAATCTGTTTGTCCCTCACTCCTGCAGCCTCCAGGGACTTCCAGAGTCCCCAGACACTGGCTGAGATCCCAGCCTCCCCGAGGCTGCCGACGGATGGCCACTACATGACGCTGCCCCTGACCCTGGATCAGCTGCCCTGTGAGGACCCAGTGGGTGGCAGGGGGGCCGCCCCGGTGCTTAGGGTGGGCAATGACGCCGGCTGCCTTGCTGACCTCCAGCAGCCACCGTACTGCAACGCCCCCCTCCCCGGCCCTGGACCTTACAGGTGGGTCACCCAACCTGGACCTTGGGAGAGGGCTGTGCTGGGAGAGGAGGGGTTTTGGGGACCAGGGCTGCCCCCCCACCCCAGCCTCTCCCCAGGCCTCTGTCCTGGCCCGTCCCCTTCCCGGCTGCAGGAGGAGCAAGCCCCTCCCCTTCACAAGCCTGGGTTTCTTCCTCTGTGGGGTCCGACCAGCTTGGGGGGCAGACAGAATGTGGCCCTTCCAGGAGGCCCACGAGGAGGAGATGGGCATCGCAGAGCCGGTGGGGTGGGGGTTGGGGAGGAGTCTGCAGGCCCCACAAGGGGGGAGGGGAATGCTGCAGGGCCCACCGTCCCTCCCACAGGTAAATCTGGCGGGAAACTAAGCCTGGGGCTGAGGGTGGAGCCGGGGTGGGAGAGCAGGTGTCAGACGAGGGGACAAGGCCAGAGGTCTTCGGGGAGACCAAGTGCGGCTGGGGGAACCGGCAGGGGGCGCAGGCAAGGCGGGCCGGGGCGTAGGCTCCACCCACGCCTCCCTCGCCCTCTCACCCAGCCCGGCCAGGTCCCCTCCCCTCCCCGTGGCCACTCCCTGGCGCGGCCTCCAGTTATACCTGCCGCCGCATTCCTAGCGTACCCCGGAGCCGTCCCGTCAGTGCCAGCCTGCCTGCGTTCCTTGCGGCTCGGAAACCTTCCGGAGCTCCGCCCCCCACCCGCGGACAAAGATAAAACCGAGGCTTCGCACGGCTCCCGGTGCCCCCCCCCCCCCCCCGAGCTCAGCCTGCGCCTTCCCGTGATCCCGGGCTCCGAGTGCGCCCTGATCACAGCCCTCCCTCCCTGGCCTTTGCCTGGGGTACCCGCCCTTATAGGGGCGCCTTCCAAGGCCTCACAGACTCCTCACAGCCAGCAGTTCTCTGGGAAGCCAGGGCCCCCCAGCCCATGCGCCCCGCTGAGCCACCCTGAGCCACCCTGCATGTGACACTTAGTAATCGGGGCCACCTAAACCAGATAGAGTGTCTGGAGAGCGACGGTTCAGATGGTTTGGGGCTGCTGGCACAGGTCACCGTGGCCAGAGAGGTCTCCGGGGGTCCTTAGAGCAGGGCCAGGCTTCAGCGGTGCTGATGGGCCCCACCCTGCCCTATACATGGAAAGGCCCACAGCCTGGCCAGCCAGCAACAGCTGCCTGGGGCCTGGCCAAGGTGGGTGCCTCGCCCAGGGCAGTCGAGGCTCAGAGCCTCACCCTTCCGCCTCTCCCCAGGGTGAAGTTCCTCCTGATGGACTCCAAGGGCTCACCCCAGGCCCAGACGAGGTGGTCCGACCCCATCACTCTCCGCCAAGGTAGCGCTGGGGGAGGGGTGCTCCGGCTCTAGTCTGCCCCGTGTGGACTGGCCGCCCTCTCCACCATGGTCGTGCTCAGCCGGCCCCCGCCCCATACAGAACCTCGTGCTGGAGGCTGGGGCACTGGGTCAACCCCATCAGCAGAGACAACGGCTCTGTCCACCCCAAAATGTTTGCCAACCCTCGGGTGCCCCGGGCCCCAGCCCCGTCATAGACAGAAGCAGTCTCCCCTCCTTCAAGGAGCCAACCCTGTGCCCAGCACTGCCAGGTGGAGGAGAAGGGCCAGGGCAAGAAGGAGGCTGGAGTCGGTCAGGGCCGTGGGTCCCGGGATAAGGAAACGGCACGTGAAACGCTGGAGTGTCCCACATGTGGGCGCCCGGGAGATGGGCTGAGAGGCCGGGCTGGTGGTGTTGGTGGGTCTTGTCATGTGAGGGCCTTGGATGCCAGGCTCCAGGAGCAGGGCAGTCCTGAGCTCTGTTGCCACGCTTCCTGCCACAGGCGGGGCAGTGGGCAGGCACATCGGTGGGAACAGCCCAGAAGGTGAGACCAAGGCAGAGGCTGGAGCGATGGCTGGTGGTCCAGGCTGGCAGAACACAGATGCCTAGCTGAGAGGGACAGATGGATGGGTTCAGGAGGCTGGTTGGGGATGTAAGGCAGTCAGCCTTGGGTGGGAGCATGGTGGGGAGGTGACCGCCCTGGGGTCCAGGGGCAGCCTCTGAGAGCCACTGTGTGTGCAGGGAAGTCCCCAGGCTCCATTGACACGTGGCCAGGCCGGCGAAGTGGCGACATGATTGTCATTACCTCCATTCTCTCTTCTCTGGCCGGTCTCCTGCTCCTGGCCTTCCTGGCAGCCTCCAGCGTGCGCTTGTGAGTGCTGACACCCCCGAGGGCCCCTCTCTCACCCAGAACCCCTTCCCTCTCACTGGTCCCAGCACCTGGAAGCCCTCCATGAGCCCTGTGGTTCTGAGGTGGGCGGTGCCTCTTCCAGGGATGTGCAGGGAATTCCCCCCCCCCCCCCCCAATATCTCTCACCTGGGAGGTCAGGGAGGTGGTCCAGCAGCTCCTCTGACGACAGGTTCAGAGAAGGGGCCACCTCGTTCTGACCGGGCCCTTCTCCTCCCTGACCTTGTTTTCTCTCCAATGAGCCCTCTATCATTTCAGCGAACTGACACCCAGGTAGTCAGGGTGGCCACCTAGAGGAGGCACACCTCCAGTTGGTTCTACAAGGGAGGAAAGGGAGAGCAGAGGCTGCAGGGGGAGGGCTCTGGGAGTGGGGAGCTTGGCAGCCTACTCCACCCAGCAGGATGACAGCTGCGCCTCTTCCTCTCCCCATCCAGCTCCAGCCTGTGGTGGCCGGAGGAGGCCCCAGAGCAGCTGCGAACCGGCTCCTTCATGGGGACGCGTTACATGACCCACCACATCCCACCCAGTGAGGCTGCCATGCTGCCCGTGGGCTGCGAGCCTGGCCTGGAACCCCTCCCCAGCCTCAGCCCCTAGCCTGGCCCATACAGCTGGGGCTGGGGCAGTGGGGGACCTGCACCTACGTGCCCCTCCCCCATCGCACCTCCCCACCCTGCCTGAAATCCATCCCACCACCAGCAGCCCTGCCTTGGGCTTTCCCAGTTCCCCAGCTCCAGGCAGTGAAGTTGCACTCAGGGGAGGGCTGTGGTCAGGCTGGGCATCCAGCCTCCGCCTCCATCTGCCTCAGTTCTGCCTGCCTCGAGTGAGGCTGAAAGGTGACATGGAGAGACCGCCCTGACAGGAAGCTTCCAGGCCCCAGGAGGAGGCCTGCAGGGGGCCTTGTCTGCCCTGTGCAGGGGGCTGGGCTGGGCCCATCCTGGGGTATATGAGGCCTCCCTCTGCCCCTCTGTCCCATCCACCAGCGGCTGGGGCTGCAGTGGAGCCTTTAGAGGTTCTTCCATTTTCCCTGGACGGGGGCCCTTTCTGAGGGTGGCACTCACCAGCTGTAAGGTCTGACAGTGTAGATACACGTTATGACTTTCCGGCCACCACTCCTAACCCCCGTGCACACGCTGATGGCTCACACACTTATCCACTCACTGTCACACCACAGACATTTACTGAGCTCCTGCTGCATGCCCTGCACAGTGTCGGACGTGGGCCCTCACGCAGAGCCCGGAGCTGCTCTTGGGAGCTCGCTCACTGCTCTGAGCCTCAGATGACCACGTGTCCTGATGTGACCTGTTACTATTGGGAGGCTATCACTCCCTCACATTGTCACATACCCTTGGGCTCACACTCCTCAGACGATCACCCCAATGGACTCTCTGGGGTCCGAGAGCCCCCATCACCCAGGAGGATACACTTAACTCAGCAGTGTCCGTCCGCCCGCCCGCCAGGCCGGTGGTTCCCACTATGGCCACAAGGGGGCGCCAGTCCAACGCAGCCGCAGGGTCCTGCGCTTGCGCACTCCTATGAACTGCTGCGAATCCCGCCGCTTGACCCGATGTCGTAGAGATACCGCCACTCAGGGGGGTCTCTGGAGGTCAGGGCTCCAGGTCCCACCTCGGCCAAGCCGGAGGGATGAGCAGTCACGCTCTCGCTTGAGGATCTACGATGTGTCGTCTGATCCGCACAGCCGCCACCGTTTTCTGGACGGAAAAACTGAGGCTCAGTACCCTCCCCGCCGCGCACTGTCCACTGTCACCGCACCCCGTGTCCCTGGACCCAATCCCGGCCCCTCTAGTCTGACCGCGGCTCCCAGCAGGCAGGCCCCCCGAGGAGGGTGGCCAGCGGGGGCCCCTGCTTTTTGGATATGAATAAATGCAGTCTGGCTCCTCCATCCTAGCAGTGCCTGTGCTGGTTCTGGAAGAGGAGAATTTATACGCAGGGCCCAGCCTGGCCCCGACACCAGACCCGGGGCTGCCCTGAGCCTATGCCCTTGATCGCCAGCCCTAACTATACATTGAGGGTGCCCCATCTCCTGACGGGCCCAGGGAAACCCACCCACAGTGGGGGGCAGGGCCAGGAAGCCTCCCACCAACGCAGGTGGGTTTAGCAGTGCTCCCTCCCAGGCAAACACTTTAGGGGGGTCTACTTTGAAAACCCATGCACCCCTGGTCCCTTGTGGTCTCTCCCCCACCCTGCCTGCATCCCCACCAGCCACAAGACCCGCTCTAGGTGCAGACAGAAGCAGATTGAGATGCAGTCAGGAGCTCAGGCCCTGGTGTCCTGGGTGACACCTGGCCATGGGAACCAGCCCCTTCAGTCAGCCACTTTTGAAATTCTGCTACTGTAGAGCCCAGGACCCTCTTGGATTCTTGGAATTGGAGGACGGTTAAAAGTGCCCTCCCCCGCACCAGCTACCCCCAGAGGAGCCAGTCTCACACTGTCCTGCCCAGGCCTGGCTCCAACACCAGACAGGGAGGCCCTTGAGGCCCAGGATGCCCAGCTTGGGGCCTGCCCAGGAGGGATATGGTGGGGAGGAAGAGGGGTCCGCTGGTGTTTGCTGAGTGAAAAAATGAACAAACCTGCCCAAAGCTGGAGGATCAGCCAGGAGCAGGAACTGCCCCAGGCTCTTTCTGTCCCAGGGTCCTTTTGTGGCTTGTTCTTAGTGCCAGAATCTGTGCAGGTCCCAGGAGCTGCGACATCCTGTGCAGGCCTGGGGCGGCCCCTCACTTCTGAACAGCATCTTCGAACCCTCTGAGGAGCTGCTGTCGCCCCATTGGGGCCACTGGGACTTAACCGTGGAGACAGGCTCTGAACACACATTGCAACATGGTGAGTGAAGACTGGGCAGGGGAGCCCAGGGGAGGCAACTGACCCCACCTGATGGTCAAGGGGACTTCCTAGGGCTGAGATGAATCTCAGGAGGCAAATGCAAGTCAGTCAAGTCAGAGGAAAGAAGGAGAGAGGAAGAGAGGGTGTGACTCAGGGAGATCAGGTGTAAATGGTCTTGCCCTACGGTGGCCCGGATGGTGCCCGGGACCGTGGCAGCAGGGAATGGGGGCCAGGAGGCCAGTAAGAGGGAGAGTGACCTCCAGGCCGATGGAATCAGCCCTGACCCAGCTGGGGCAGATGAAGCAGGTTGGAGGGGAAGAGTTGGATTCTAGAAATATTCAGGAGGTGGCTGGAGGAATCAGGCACTTCTTAGACTTGGGGGATAAGCCAAGAGGAGAGGTTGTGCTCTCCTTTTAAAAAAAGAGGCTTGTTTTTTAAAATAAATTTATTATTTATTTATTTTTGGCTGCGTCAGGTCTTCGTTGCTGAGCGTGGGCTTTCTCTAGTTGCGACGAGCGGGGGCTACTCTTCGTTGCGGTGCGCAGGCTTCTCATTGCAGTGTCTTCTCTTGCTGCAGAGCACAGGCTTTAGGTGCGCGGGCTTCAGTAGTTGTGGCACTCGGGCTCAGTAGTTGTGGAGTGCGGGCTTAGTCGCTCCGCGGCATATGGGATCTTCCTGGACCAGGGCTACGAACCCGTGTCCCTGGTGTTGGCAGGCGAATTCTTAACCACTGTGCCACCAAGGAAGTCCCTGTGCTTGAGTTTCTGATGTGGGGACGGGTATGAATGCAAAATGGGGCCCTTTATGTTCTGAAAGTGGTTCTATCCCCCCAGCTTTAGAGCAGATCCCCAGAAAAGGGGGTTCTGGGAACGTCATCTTAGGTCGGTGAATCCACAAATACACTAACAAATTGTTTGTTTTTTAATTAATTTATTTTATTTGTTTATTTGTTTGTTGCTCCGCGGCATGTGGGATCATCCCAGACCAGGGCTCGAACCAGTGTCCCTGCGTTGGCAGGTGGATTCTTAACCACTGCACCACCAGGGAAGTCCACAAATTGTTAATATTTTACAAAGATGGAAGCCAACCCTGGTCAGTGGGAGGCCACCCTGTGAGCCTGCCCAGCTGTGGGCGTGCTGCCCCAGGGCTGTGCTGCCCCAGGGCTGTGCTGACAGGTGTGCCCAGGCGCCACAGAGTCCACACGGAGAAGGGGTGGCTGGTGGGACCAGTCATCGCCAACACAGGCACCGTCACGCTGGCCCCTGGGGAGCCGTGCCATGAGCCAGACGCCAGCCCGGCGAGGGTCAGCTCGTGACAGCCTTGAGCAGGGTGCTTAGTGAGAACTACATTGTGGAGAATTTTTCATTAAATAATGTTTTAAATTTTCTCCAGGGCTGTATTTGGGGAAGTACCTCCAAATCCACTGGCCCATAACATAATGGCTCAGTGGCTAAAAACAAGCTCATTGTTAAAAAGGAAAAAACAGCAACGGTTGTGGGGGCGATGACTCGCAAATGACTCATCAGGCCAGAAATCGAAGGAATCAGGATGGAAACCAGGCAACCGGGCAGCATCCCTCCCTCCCTCTCACCCTCTGGGTTCACTTTACTCCTCTGTATCTCTGAACCACCCGTGTCACTCCATCATCCCTGCAGTCCCCAGGCCGGCCACCCTGGTCTCTTGCCGGGGTGTCAGCAGCTGCCCCTTTGCTGGTCTCCCGTTACCAGCGTCCCTGATCCCCACCCGCATTCTCCTCCCAGCATCCCGAGGGACCAGATTATACACCTAATAGTGTCACACCCTTGCTCACAACTCTCAGGGGACTTCCTGCTGCAAGAACAGAATCCAGATTCATCACCTCAGTCCTGAGGCCCCATGATCCATCCCTTGCTGCCTGAATTCATCCCACACACACCCTCCGTTAGCCCCCATGCCACAGGGTCTTTGCACTTGCTTTTCCCTCAATGTAGACCATTCCTCCACTTCGCTCCCCTTCCTCTAGATCATTCCTCAGCTTCACTGTCGCTTCTTCAAGGAAGCCCTTCCTGACTCTCTCAGCTCTCCTAGAGCTGTGTTCTTTTCTTTCTCGGCACATTTTCTTTCCATTTTGTAATTAGACATTTAAAACGGTGAGCTTTTGCATCTCCTCCACTAAACTGTAAACTCCAGGAGGGCAGGGATCACGTCTGCTTTGCTCACCAGGGTACTCCTACAGCGAGCACAGTGCCCGGCTCCCAGTAGCTGCTTAATAAATATTTGTTGCCTGAATGCTTTATAAAAGGCGTCTTCGCACCGACTGCAATCGGCTGGCCAGGGCACATGCTTCTTTGCCCGGTGCGGGTGTGTGACCGGTGGGTACCCTGGCTGCCCAGGAGCCTGGCACGTCCCACCCTCTGGCTGCTACAGTGGGAGGTGCAGACTCAGGCTCCGCCACAGTTGGCTTCCTGGGTGGGGTGAGGGGGCCGAGTCTGTGCAGAGAAGAGACACCTTTTTGTGATTCTTACAAAGACATCATATGGCTAGCGCTGGCCGGGGGACATGGCAGCAAGAAAGCCATATCCCCGACATAATATGGGTGTTGCAGGAGCTGGGCAGTCAGAATGGCAATCATCTCTCATGCCCAGGAAGGTGGCCAGTCCCCAGGCACACACACTGTTATAGACAGAACCGTGTTCCTCACAATTCCTGTGTTGAAGCCCTAACCCCCAGTGCCTCAGAATGTGACTGTATTTGGAGAGAGGGTCTTTAAAGAGGTAACGAAGTTAAGAGGTCATTAAGTAAGTTCTTGAGGGTGGGATGTAATCCAGTCTGACTGGTGTCCTTATAAGAAGAGACTGGGACACAGAGACACCCGGGATGCTGCAGAGGACAGACCATGTGAAGAGGCAGCAAGAGGGCGGCCGTGTGCCAGCCAAGGAGAGAGGCCCCAGAAGAAACCAACACTGCTGATGTGATCTTGGCCTTCCAGCCTCCAGAACTGTGAGGAAGTGCTGTTTAAGCAGCCTGGTTTGGGGCCCTTTAGCTGGCGCAGGCTAATCCACCCACCCACCATCACGGTGTTGTGGACATGAGCGGTGACGGAGGCGGAGTGCACAGGGCAGGGGTCAGTGATGAGAGCTGACGGGCAGCAGCGTGTGCAGAGGCTTGGAGGCAGGAAGGGCCATCACGCTGGCCCCTTGACCCAGCTTTCCGGGCCTTCTCCTCCCCTCCCTGTGGAGAAGCCAGAGGCCACTGCAGCCGCGTCCTGGCCCTCCCTTTTCGGCCTCCACCACTGGTCCCAGGCTTGCATGCATCAAGGAAGAGCCACGGTGGCTGCCTCTTGGCCCTACATTGTGAGATTTCACTCCAAGGGGGCATTCTACCAAAAGAGCTTTCTGGTTTATGATTCTGGGTTTACGATGCTTTAACTAAACAGGAGAGGTGGTGAGCTGCCTGTCATGAGGGGTGTACAAGCAGACCTGGAAGGGGCTGGACCACTGTGCAGTAGAAAGATTCGGGGCAGGGTGGGGTCAGTGAACTGTGGGTCTTTTCCCCTTGAAATTAGCACAGACGGGTGTCTGTTAGGGTCTGATGAGTGGCCCCGAGGTCAAGCTGGTGGCAGGGGAAGGGACTAGGTCACCTACACTCTCCCGCTCTGCCTGAAACCCCAGGCTGCAGATCTGGTGTCTCGCTCTGCTGGGGAGGGTGAGCCCAGAGCTTCTCCCTGTGCGCCTCCTCGGGGCAAGGTGTGATGCTTGCTATGGAGCTGGGGCCTTGTGTGGTAACACAGGGCTGGGTGGGCCTTTGGGAGCATTACCTGGCTGCCCTGTGTGTGTGTCGGGTGGGGGGGGTTGTTCGGAACCTCACCCTGTCCCATGAGTCACCCCAAAGGTACACAGCCAGGTAGGTCCTTGGGAATAGACTATTCCCCAGGGCTTGGTATGTCCCACTCACCACCACCCCCAGCCCTTCCTGGCCCCTCTGGGCATCCTGGTCCCACTCTCTTCTCATCCCCTGGTCTGTCTCTAGGCCACATGCAGCAGCCCTGGTTGAATGCAGGACCAGGAGGGACTCCTCAAGCCCTGTGGGTCTGGGAAGGAGCCCGCATACCTGGGCCTGGGGGGACAAACGGAGCCAGCTGGGGCCCCAAGTGGGCTGTGGGTATGGACACCCCTGGTACCCAAGGGAACTTGTCCCAGATCAAGCTGAGAGGGGACACTGAAGATTGCCTCCGTCTGTGGTGTGTGATTAAAAATAGCATTTCACATCAGTAGGGAAAGGACTGATTTTTCAGTATTTTAGGTTTTTTTCAGTATTGGGGGTTTTTTTGGAGGCTTCGTTACGTAGGCATGATTGATTAACCCATTGGCCGTAGATGATTAATCTAACCTCCAGCCCTTCTCCCCTTCCCAGAGGTGGGGGGGATGCAGCTGAAAGTTCTAACCCTCTAATCAGGTGGCTGGTTCCCCTGGCAACCAGCCACCCCCATCCTGTGGTTATCTAGGGGATTTCCAAAATCACCACATCAACATAAACTCAGGTGTGGTTGAAAGGGGCTTGTTATAAAAAACAAAAAACAGGCATTTCACCTTTATCACTCGAGCTATTTCAGGGAACAAAGGATGCTCCTTTAGGAGCTGTGGGCTGCCCTACCACAGACAAAGACTATAATATACATCAGAGTAGCCATAGGTAACTGATACAAGGACGCGTACCAAACTAAGGAGACTGGATGCCTGGGCGGGGAGGGCAGGAGTGGGTTAGAGATGGGCGTGAAGAGAAAAAATGAAAAAATAAAAGCAGGACCCTGTGCAGAGCAGTAATGAAGGGTGCCACAAAAACTGAGAAGGAAACGTAATCCTTTGCTCCTGCAAGGCCTCCCAATTAAACACAGATGAAAAGGGGAAAGAGAGAGAGTCCTGCCTGGGTATTAGAAGACCGAGGGTTGGTTTCCAGCCCTGCCACTGACCGTCCACGGGGCTGAGAAAGTTCCTCTCCCCGTGGAGGCCTGGTTTTCTCATCTGTATTATGAGATTAACAATCGTGCCTGCCCTGCCCGCTTCTGGGGATCTGAGATGAGTCGATGGGCAAGAATGTACTTTCAGAAGGAAGGAGCTCTTCCCATGTTATGATGTCTGCTTTCAACTGCCTTTCAAAAGACAAAAAGAGGGGAAAAAAGTAAATCTATATACTTATCAATATACATTATATTACAAAATATATGTGTATTATAAGTATATATTATATACATACGTTTTGTAAGTATACATATATTTACATATACGTATATGTATTATATATACATATAAGTACATATTGGTATAGAGAGTAACATAGTGTGTGTGTATATATAATAAATATATATATATATGGGAGGGAGAGGCTTGAGAGCAAATACAGCAAAATGTTTACAATTGTTGAATCTGGGTGGAGGCTATATGTATGGGCATTCTTTATACTATATATTTTCAACTTTCCTAGGTGTGACCATTTCTGTAATAACAGGCTGGCGAGATAAAGAAGCCTTTCCGGGGCTGGGTCTGACCGGGATTCGCCGGCTGGGCCCCAGCTGGACCGGCTCGTGTCCCCCTCTCTTCCACATCTGGGTCCAGGAGCGCTGGTCCCACTCTCTCAGAGGCCCACACACCTGCTTAACGTTCTACCTGTGCGACCTCCGTGTCCCATGACTAAACGTTGATCTCAGGATGACCTGCATCTCAAGCCCGTCCAGGTAACCGCCAGACGCTGAAGTGGCTGCTTCGCGGATGGCCCTGTGCCAGCCCCTGCGAGCCCACCCCCTCCTCCCTGCCACCCCGTGAGGAAGGAGGGCCGGTTCCTGCCTTGAGGAGCTTCCAGCGGGAGGAGGGCCAGGTGTGCACAGGGATGCACTTGATATAACAATACATTTTATTGCAGTGATTCTAAGATGGAGGTACATGCCAGGTGCTGGGAGGACATTAGGGGAGGCACCAAAGCCAACCAGGGGACAGTTTCTAGTGGTGCCAGACCCTGGGTGGGGTAGGTAGGACTGAAGGACAAGGGTTCGCTGGGTACTTACTGCAAGGCAGCGAGGGCCCTGCGGGAGGAGCCTGGCCTGAGCCACCTGAAAGGGGAGAAGCCTTAGAAGAGGGGTCCCAGCGACCTTTGGTTTTATTGTGTTTTTGGTTTGTTTGTTTTAAAATATTTATTTATTTTGTGGTTGCATTGGGCACACGGGATCTTTTTTGTTGCGGTGTGCGGGCTCTTCGATGCAGTGCGCGTGGGGTCTTAGTTCCCCTGCACTGCAAGGCGGATTCTTAACCACTGGACCCCCAGGGAAGTCCCTCAGCGGCCTTTTGGTTGAGGCTCTCCAGGCGCACGCTCAACTCCCCCGACCTCGTCTGCCTTCCCGAGTTTTTCCGCTCTGCTTTTGGCCCCCAGTTCCTTGGGGGCTGAGTCAGTCACTGGTGAATACAGTAATGTTCAATCTTGAAAAGTCTGGAACTAGCTCGTCCGAGTAAAGAGTTGGTCACAAAAAACCTACTAGGTAATAACATAGTGTGGGTAGGAATATTTTCCTTTTTCGAAGTTCACTGCAATAAACAATTTGTACAGTTTAAGTATATTGGGAAAGGAAGATAATGCAGGTGGGCTGGTAATCAAATAGATTATATATTTGATTATATAGAGATATAAATTAAATATGTTTTAATAACTAAAGAATATTTATAATTAATTGTTTTAAAAAATTTTTAAGTGCTCCGCAAAGGAGTTTGAGTTTTAGGAGGGCGGCTCCAGTCAGCTATGGAGCTGGGCCGGCGGGGGTGGGGGCTGGTGCTCGGGGCAGGGGACCACCCTGAGGGTCTGCTGCTCCAGTCCAGGTGAGAGGTGGTCGGTACACGCTCTGCCCGCCGGCCCTGGGCCCCATGCGGGCACCTTCTCTCTCGAGGAGGGATTGCCCTGCTCTGGCAGTGGCCAGAGATGGAGGAAGGAGAGAGGGCAGGTCACCTGGATAAGGAGAGGAGGGAGGGTGATGTTGGGGAGCCCCCTTGCGGGGCCAGGCGGTAGGGGGACAGCAGGGAGGGAGTGCCCCTAGGCTTGCCTTGGGGGGTGATGCTCCAATTCTGGGTCTGGCCCGGCTGGCTGGGTGGTCTTGGACAAGCCCCCTTCCCTGCTCTATGCCTCGTCTGAGAAATGAGGATAACTCCCTTCTGCAGAGGGGGGGGGCCGTGGGGAGCCGTGGTTGCCAGGTTGGAGGACCGTTTGGACGAGGAGATTCCACAAGGCGCGGCAGGGCTGTCCCTGGGGCTGCCTGGACCCCAGGACTGGCTCCTCTTTCCGTGGCCCCTCCCCAGCCAGGCCCTCCTGGAGCAGGGGTGGGGTGCAGTTTTCCTCTTCAGACCCCTCCCTTGCAATGCCAAAGCCTTGGGCCCAGCACATTCAGCCCCTAAGCGGTCCAACCAGTTGTCTGGGAGAAAGGGGGCATGTGGGAGGGGCAGCAGGAGGTGCCAGAAGCAGCCTCCCCCAGCCCAGCACGCACAGCGGAGCCTCTGGGGCTCCGGATGCTGCAGACAGACCCTCGGACAGACAGACAGTTGGACGCTTGGCCTGGCCATGAGGCTCAGCGGGGGACAGTCTTCTCTTCTGACGGCACTGTTGCCGCTGCTGACCTGCCTCCATCTGGGGATGAGTCTGGGTGAGTGAGGGTCGGGCAGGGCAGGGGTGCCCACTGTGCTTCAGGCTTAAGGAAGACAGACCCCACCTCCCCCGCCACCTCCTGAGCCCCGAGTCTGGGGACTGGGTGCCAGGTGGGTCAGGGGAGACAGCACACCAGAAGAGGTCACAAGACAGACATCTGTCCCCCTACCCCCCGCCCCAAGATTGGGAGCAAGGAATGCTTCCTCCCTCTCTTTGGGCTTCTCATCTCCGTGCCTCCTGAGCCCGATTCTCACCAAATGGCTCCCTCCTTCCCCTCCTTCCCCTCCTTCCCCTCCTTCCCCTCCTTCCCCTCCTTCCCCTCCTCCCTGGCCCGAGGAGAGGTTTAAAGAAGTCTTCAAGGGTAACACTTACCCCAAAAGAAGCTCTCCAAGGGGGTCTACAGGCATTGTTCACTGTCAGGCTCTGAAACTGGAGCGACTTAGAGATGCAGCCCCCATGCCCCCATCTCTGCTGTTCCCTGTCTTTCCTCTCTTTTAAGCAAACATTAAGTACCTGCTGTATGCCGTGTGCCCTGGTCCTCAGCGTTAGAGCCAGGAGCTCTGAGAGAGGAGGGTTCTAGCCCTGAACCCTTGGGGTTGAGCTGAATTAAATGGAAATGAATTGCATTGAACTGAACTGAAAGAGGGAGAGGGTTCTGGAGACGTCCATAAAGCCCACCTCATCTTTCTTCTGCTCTCCAGTATCTGGGGCTGAGGGACACCTCAGGGGGCCTGGAGAGGAGTTAGGGGTTCTGAGCCCTCCAAGCAGAGCAGCAAGGCTAGACAGGGCTGTGAGGGGCTGAGAGGGGGACAAGTTCTCTAAGGGGAGGGAGCCTTGGGACGGGGTGGGAGATGCAGAGCACTGGGTGGGCAGGAGAGGCCGCCCTAGGATCTGAGCCAGGACACTTCCTTGAGGCCCACCTCTGGGCCTAGGGTCTTCCTGTGTCACCCCCGCCCCCCCCCAACCAAGCCATTCATTCCTCTCATCAAGCAAACCAACCTGGACCGTGTGGATGGAGCTGGAGGGGTACTTGAGAGGTGGGTAAACTGAGGCCCGCAGAGCGTCAGAGCTCAAGGTCACTGGGCTCTGTCAAGAGCCCGGCCTAAGGTTTGGGCTTGGGCTCAGGCTGCCCCAAATCTGAGTGTCACCCCAGCAGGACCTAAGACGCCTCTCCCAGAAGAACTGTGCATGCAGCTGGGGAAGGGTCTCCTGTGCCTCCACCTGTCCTCCTTCCCCAGGCCCTGCCCATCACTGAGACCCCGGTGACACAGGGGGGCAAGGCCTCCCCCCGACCTCCCACGGTGCCCACCCCTAATAGGCTCCCAAGGCAGGGGCCAGGGGCCGGACACGGAAGTGCCAAGGAGCATTCCTGGTTAACGCCTGACCAGAGCTCCCAGGAAAAGCCCTAACTCCTCCCACTGACGGGGGCTTCCAGGGCCATGAGCCCGTCCCCGCAAGACGAGGCGCTGGGGACCTGGTCATGCCGTCGAGCCTCTTCTCTCTGCCCGCACCGGCCCCAGAGCACATCAGCTACGCGCCCCAGCTCTCAAGTGCCACCCTGGCAGGGAGACTTACCCAGCCCACCTTCACACTGGAGCAGCCGCGGGGCCAGTTCAGTCACCTTAACGTCGCCGACTTTGACGCCATCTGGCTGGTGTTGGCCCACAGCAATGGTGGGTGCTGCCGGGGCAGGCCTCACTTTCCCCTCTGTGAAATGGGCAGGCGGGCCTGAAGGGAGCAGGGGTAGGTGCTGCCGGGGTTGTGGCCAGAGGCTGTCTGGCCTGGCGGGATGGGGTAGAGCCCATGCATCCCCCACCTTCTGACCCTCAGTGCCACCCTCAGCCCCCCAGAGCTTCACTGCCCCACAGAGGGTGGAGGACACCCCGGTCCCTGCCAACTTGCCCCAGAGGGGCTACTACGTCACGCTGAGGACCAGCTGAGCACTCTACCCGGGCGGCCAGCCCGGCAACGAGCTCCGGGTCCTCCGTGTCGCCAACGATACCTGCTGCTCCCCGATGACAAGAGGCTGCCACCACCCCCTGCCGGGCCCGGGCCCCTACTGGTGAGCGGCCAGCCCCGCGCTGGGGTGGGAGGGCTCCTGCATGTGTCCAGACCTGAGCCTGGATGGCTCCCAGCTGAGTGCCTGGGTTCCTGGCTCCAGTTCTGCCATTAGGAGGAGGGGGCTGGGGCCCAGGAGTCCGCGGTGAATTCTTCCGTCTTCTTGAGCAGAGGGCCCCCAACTTGAGCCCCCGCCCCCATGGGCCATGTGGACCATGTGGGTGGAGTCTCCCCATCCAGGCAGGGTGGTGGGCCCTGGCCCCATCTCTCCTCATTCAGGGCTTGATTCACTGAAGTTCTGTGCTGAGTCATCTAGTCCGCTCCACACACATTTCCCAAGAGAGGACCCTAAGGGTCGCAGAGAAGGCAAGGGATGCACCCAAGGCCACACAGCTGAGACATCCCAGTCACAGCTGGGATGGAGCCCCTTCTGGTGGACTCTAAGACTGTGCTTTTAGCTCTAGGCTGTTCCCCCCAGGCCCTGGGAGTCAGGGGGAAGAGACTGACAGGCACCAGGGTTGGAGGGTTTCAGGTCCTGGGGACCCCCCCACCCCCAATGCTGGGTCTCCTGTTCAGAGTGAAATTTCTGGTGGTGAGAGACAGGGGACCCATGGCTGAGACAGAGTGGTCCAGTGAGACCCACCTGCAGCAAGGTATGGGGCCAGGTGTGCAGCTCAAACTCTAGGGCTGGGGCCTCCTGAGGACTGGGGGTGGGTGGGGAGGAATGGGCCAGCCCCAGTCAGTCAGAGCCACCGTTACCATCCTGCTGTCTGCAGGTGCCCCTCCCCAGGCCGCCTGCAAGCCCCGCCCCCCTGGGGCTGCGGTGAGAGGTGGTTGGTCTGGAGGCTGTTCCAGGCCCCCGTTCTCAGGTCAGATCTCTTTCCTCCCTTCTCACCCCACCTGCCTGTGGGCCCCCTCACACCCTCAGCCGAGGCACTCCAGGCTGCCCCAAGGCCCCAGAGCGCGGGCGCCGTGGTCATCGTTGCCATCCTGTTGGTCCTGCTGGCCGTCGTCCTCACTACCCTCGTCACCCTGCTCATCTACACCTGGTAAGTGGAGCGGGTCGGGACTGCCCTGGGAGGGGTGGAGTCCCTCTCCTGGGCCACCGCTATCCTTTTCCCACGCCCCGGCCCAAGCCCTCAGCCCAGGCCCCCAGCCCAGCTTGTTCTGCTGGAAGGGTTTTCCCTGAAGGCCGAACAGGGCTAACAATTATTGATCAAGGGATCCCCAAGGTTCTAGAACCTCTAGGTGGGGGTGGTGTGTGCATTAACCCCTCCCTCTCTTGTCCCTCTGCCTGACGCCTGCTGAGGGGTTGCGGGGGTGGGGGCCACATTTTCTGAGTGCTCACCATCTGCCCCCTGGTGGCAAGAGCTGGAATTGCGAGTGGGAGCGCAGAGCAGATGTTCCAGGTGGAAGACATCCAGGTGGAGGTGAATTGCTTTTAATCTAAGCGCTGAGCTTTGACTTGAGCGCTCAAGGCTTCATCTGGGGCCTGGTGGGGAGGGGGTGTCCACCAGGCTTCCTGGAGGAAAGGGACGCCTGGTCCCCGACGAGGATTTGGAGAGGAGGGGGAGAGTCTGGGGGCAGAAGAGTTGCCAGGAAGGCCTGGGCCTTGATCCCAGCTGAGGAAACGGGCTGTATGCTGAAAGCCGGAGAGCGCCAGTGGCCAGCTGTGATCAGGGGAAACAGGCAGATGGTGTTTTAGAGGCATCCTGGGTGTGGGGAGTGGGGGAGGGGAGCGTTGCGGTGGGGTGATGACAAAGGGCAGGGAGACAGAGCTGGATTTGTGAGGTTTAGAGGAGTAGCCCCAACCTCTAGGCAATAGCCATCGGATTTCCATGAGGCCCTGCATTCTTCATTCTCTCCAGCTCTCCTCCCCTCTCCCCTCCCCCCCAGCTACGACACCTGTGGGAGCACACCTGTGGGAGCACGTCCATCTCTGGCCCGGGGAGCTGGCGTGCATGAGAAGATATAACGCCCACCACATGTTCAGCCCTTCAGCCGAGGGGGGCTCCTGAGAGGCTCCAGGGGGCCCCCATCTGCCCCTCTGCCTCGCCCCTGGTCCAGGCTGCAGAGCATGGGCTGGGGGCTCGCGCTGCTGCTTCAGAGCCCTGGGAGAGAGTGTTTCCAAATAAGGAAGTGGGGGGAGGGTGTCCTTAGTCCAAAGCTTGGGCCTGTCCCTGTTAGAAATAAATGTCCCCATTATTGGGGACAGCCCCCTGAATGGCTGTGTCATTGTACACCTGGGCAGTCTCCCTGCATCCCTGTCCCCAGCTCCTCTTGGGAGGATACAGCAACCGGGGGTGAAGCCCAGGGTCCTAGGCCAGCTGAGCCATTGGGGCAGGGCAAGCCTCTCTTCTGGCCTCAATGGCCCTGTCTGTAAAGTGGGGGTGATTCCAGTGGTCCCCCTGGGCCCGATGGAGCCGAACCAAGGGGGTGGTTGTGCCCACCTGCCCTGCGTGTCTGGCGCTTGCTGGTGCCACCCCCGCCCCCACCTCCTCCTCTTCTTCTTTTTTTTTAATATTTATTTATTTGGCTGCACCAGGTCTCAGCTGCGGCACACGGGATCTTCATTGCCGCGTGCGGGCTTAGTTGCTGCATGCGGGATCTAGTTCCCTGACCCAGGATCGAACCGGAGCTCCCCGCATTGGGAGCGCGGAATCTTAACCACCGGACCACCAGGCACGTCCCCCCGCCTCCCCTTTGTGGTCTCCCTCCATCTGGCCTCTCCTCCTGCCTGGAGGACTTAGAGCTTCTAGGCTTCACCCTGACCTCTGTGCTCACGCCGGGGTGGGGGTGTGGAAATGCGTGAGAAGCTGCAGCTCCTGGAGATGCCTGGGCTCAGGCTCGGGCCCCGAACCTAATGCGGGGCACCAAGCACCTGTCGTCATCCACTCCACTCCAGGCCAGGCCCCCCGGGGCCAAGATGACCCAGCAAGGTTCTGTCCTCAAGTCACCCACCGCTGTGTGGGAGAGGAGGGGAAACCAGCCAGCACAAGGGATGGAGGGAGTGCAGAGGTTTGAGGGCTGGAGGAGGCTTCCTGAGCAGGCGTAGCCTTGGAGGAGGGGCCACACTGTGACAGGTGGACCCGGGAAGGGGACCCAGGCAGGATCAGCAGCATGTACAAAGGCCTGGAAACCATGGTGACTGCTGGGTGGGCAGGTTGGGGACAGCTGGAGGGTGGGGTGAGGGGCCGCGAGGAGGCCAGGGGATGCCCCTTGCTACGTGAAGGGCCTCACCCCCTGGGGCATGGGGCAGGGAAGGAGGGCTCTGGCTGCATGCCCAGGTGCCTGTGTCCGGGTGGTGCAAATGGCCCTAATGGGTTTATTAAGCCGGTGCACACACAGCTGGCTCTTGCTGTGGAGGAAATGGTCACATGACCAGCCTGGGAGGGGCAGGGAGGGGAGGGGGGCACACAGAATTCCAGCCTCTGCCCAGCTAAGCCTTGATCTCTCCACAGCCTTTCCAGAGCAGCCATGAGCCCCGACCCTGGGGCTGGGTGACCTTGGACATATCACTTACCCTCTCTGGGCCTGTTTTCCCCTTAATGTAAAAGCGAAGGTTGAACTGGGTAACTCTAAGGCCCTGCACTCCACCAGCACCCAGTATGGGTCGGACACTGGCAGGAAACAGATGGCACGCTGTCTAATGGGGCAATTGACAGCATTTACAAGGGTTTGGGCAGCATATTAAGGGGACCCAGGGCACCGATGGGGCCATAAGCACTCCTGTCCCTGAGGGGCTGGTGGTGTTTCCAGAGCCAGTGGGCAGGAGCCACGGGCAAGGGTCTGCCTGGCAGGAGCGGGGGGCTGTAGGTAGAGGGAGCCGGGGGACTAAATACCCCGGCCTTTCTCCTCTGGCCTTCTGATCGCGTGCTGACCACACCTAACCAGAAGCAAGAGGGCGGGGGGTCTGGACGGTGTGGTCCATGTGCCAGCTAGACCTGTGTCCAGAGCAGGACAGAGAGGGGCCAAGAATGGCCTTAGAGGGTACTGTGATCTGTTTTTTACTCACAGCACTTCTGACACCAAATGTGTGGGGGTTTTCTGTTTGTTTTTTATTTTTATTTTGGCCATGCCAAGTCTCAGTTCCCTGACCAGGGATTGAACCTGGGCCACAGCAGTGACAGCGCCGAATCCTAACCACTAGGCCACCAGGGAACTCCTCAAATGGGTGGGTTTTTCTCACACCAACCAATTCTCCAGCTCTCTGGACACCAACTGGGTGTCCTGCAATTGAATTCAATTCTGACACTAATTCCCTGGAGTTAGTCCCACAAGATCGCCCCCACCTAGATGCCAGGAATAAGTATGGGGCACCCGCACATCTATTGAACTTGGTTACAAATAGCTTATTCCCATGACCCCCTCCTCAGATTCCATAATTTACTAGAACGGCTCACAAAACTCAGGAAAACAGTTCACTTACTATTACTAGATTATTATAAAGGATACAACTCAGGAACAGCCAGCTAGAAGAGATGCACAGGGCGAGGTATGGGGGGAGGGGTGCTGAGCTCCCATGCCCCCTCTGGGTGTACCACCTCCCAGCACCTCTGTGTGTTCATCCACCCGGAAGTTCTCCAAATCCCATTGTCTAGGGTCTTTATGGAGGTTCCATGACATAGGCACAATTGATTAAATCATTGGCCATTGATGATTGAACCAACCCCAGTGCCCTCCCTGGAGGCTGCTTAGGAAGAGTGGGGGAATAGGGCTGAAAGTTCCAGCCCTTTAGTCACATGGTTGGTTCCATCCTAAAGCTATCTAGAGGGAATTCCCTGGTGGTCCAGTGGTTAGGACGCCATGCTTTCACTGCCAAGGGCTGGGGTTCGATCCCTAGTCAGGGAACGAAGATCCTGCGTGGGGCAGGCAAAAAAATTAAAAAAAAAAAAAAAAGCTATCTAGGGGCCCACCCAGAGTCACCTTATTAGCATAAACTCAGGCATGGTTGAAAGGGGCTCCCCTTATGGATAACAGAAGATGCTCCTCTCACACCAGCACTCAGAAAATTGCAGGGGTTTTAAGAGCTCTGTGCCCAAAAACCGGACAAAGACCAAATGTGTGTTACTTATTATATCACAGCATCACAGAGGGGGCACAGGCCGCCTTTGTGCTGATCCTGTGGAATCAGATCTTTCCCCACCTTTGTGGGCTCCAGACTAGAGAAAGGGGCCACAGAGTCCTGTCCCAGACGGAGGGCTGCCTGAGGCCAGGGTTGGGCGTGCAGAGGGGGCTCTGCAGAAGCTGACCCCTGAGTCGTGGAGGACAGCGATCCTGGCCGCCTCTGACCAGATATCCCGGAGGGCCTTCAGGCCACCATGTTACCCCACAGCCAAACCTAGAGCTGCCCCCAGCCCCAAACCCCCTCCTGGTTCCCTGGTCCTCCAGCCCCCGAGTTGAGTTCTGAAGACGACCCCTCTTGGGGTCTGTCCTGGACCACAGGCCCCCACGGGGAATATGCACCACTTTCTGTGACAGGCACAGCCTGGCCACAAAGTTTAAGCCAGCTCCCTGGGACATGCCCGGTGCTGAGCTCAGAGCCCAGCCCGGGGCTGGTGGGATGCCCCACCCCCAACCAACCCAGGCTCCCCGTGGAACCTCAGCTGTGCCCGGCCTTGCTTCCCCGGGCTCTTCTGGGGCCTGGGAGTCCAGGACTGGCTGGAAGGGAAGGCCCGAGCCAGGGTGGCTGGCCCCATAGAGCTGCTGATGGTGACCCCTATGGAGCAGAGAGGGAGCCTCGGCTCCGGAGCTGTGTCGTGGGACCTGCTCTCAGGGAGCACTGTGCGGGGCAGTGCCCCGGAGCTGCCAGGGCCCTAGGAGGGTCCATATCCGGGCCCCAGCCCTGGCATCCTGTCTGACCCTCCTCAATTTTCTCATCCGTGAAAAGGATGGAAGAGATGAGCGGTAGGGTCCTCAGGTCACTCAGTCCCTCCGTGTTCATTCATTCACTCATTCATTCATTCCCACACTCAGGGGACAGTCACTGACTTCAGTGCTGGGCCTCAAGGACTGCATCAGTGAGAGGTAGACTTGCACAGAGATAACAAGGGGGCCATCATGGGACGGAGAGCGCTGACACTGCTGCCGGGAGCAGGGCCTGGTGGGGCGACACTGACCACAGGGTGCAGCACATCAACCCACTCAGCCCTCCAGCTCTCAGGCACACAAGCCTGAGGAAAACAGACTCAGGGACGATGGCCTCGAGCCATGAAGTGGCGCCACATGTCACCTGATGTCAACCTGATAAATGGACCAGGGCAGGGCAGAGGACCTGCTGTATCCCACTGCCTTTCTGCCCGTTTTTCTGGCGCTCTCTCTCTCTCTCTCTCTCCTCTCTCTCTCTCTGTAACCTCCCCTCTTATGTTTCTCTGCCTCTAACTACAGTCCTTTGTCTCTGTTTTTAACTCTGACAAGCCATGGGAACTCTCTCACTCCCTGGGGGGAAGCCGTCTGAGCTGAGAGGTGGACACGACCGTTTCGCAATAAACACAAGATAAAATCAGAAACCTGGCTCCCTTTCCAGGTTTGGGCTCAGTAGAGGAAAAGGGCAAAAGGGAAGCAGAAGGACGAGGGAGAAAGACTATGTGTGTCAGGGAAGGGGGCCGTTCACAGCCCATCACCCCACCGGCGGGTACAGAGGGGTCACCCCAGGCCCCTCCCCCAATGCCCTTTGCAGCCTCCAGGCTCCCCATCTCCATGCCCTGGTTCCTCTCCAGACACCCGGTTGTCCCCTGCAGCGGGAGCCCAGGGGGCCCCAGGGGACTGTTCCGCCCCTCTTCCCCACAAGTGTGTGTTTGCACCCCCTCTTTGGCATGGATCTGGGGCTCTCCTGGGAATGCTGGCTCACACAGTAGAGTCTGAAGATCTAGGCGGCGCTGGAAGCCAGGCAGGCAGGAGGGGCTCTGAGGCCCGGGAGAGGAAGGAATCAGCTCATCTGGAGTCTGGGGGGGTGGGCTGCTTCTGGGTCCGACTCCATCAGCCTAAGCTCCCCCGGGGGGACGTTTCCACCTGGGACACAAAGATGCAAGCGTGTGACCTGAGAGAGGGGTCTCTCCAGGGTCCTGGCCACTCTGTTGGGAGGCCCCTCCCAGGAGGACAGTCCAGGCAGCGGGGGTGGCCGCCTCCACCCTCCCAGGCCCCGTTGGTTAAGCCCAGGCCCAGGTGCAGGCTGCTCGCTGGTGGCCCTGGGGACTTTCAGGGCTGCTTGGAACGTGGTGTGGTGGGAGCCGTGTCGTTTGCTAGGTGGGTTTGAGCTGCCCAGAGTCAGGCCCGAGGTTCCGGTGTCATTCTGATGACTCAGGGTTCGCAAACGCTCTTCCTTTTGCCCTCCTGGCTGCCCACGGAGGCTGTCTCTGCATCCATCCCTCGTGGGATGAAAGGACTGAGAGAGACAGATGGGGAGCAGAGACCCCCCCTTCCTCAACCTCTGCACCCCACCCAGTCACTCCAGCCCAAGAGAGCGAAGGCCACGCGCAGAGGGCACCGTGCCTCGGGAGAGGCTGGTCCTCGTCCAGCACCTACTGGGCACCAGGAACGGGCCTGAACAATTCACGTGCGTGAAACCCCAAATCCTTGGGGCAATCCCATGGTTAGCCTCAGCTTACAGATGAAGAAATGGGGGTTGTGGTAGGTGCCACCAGGGTAGAAAACACAGGATGGGAATCCAGCAGGGGTGGCCCGGGAGGGGTCTCAGAACTCCGCTGGAGGGGAGCAGAGGGGTCTGCAGGACCCCTGGGGGGAAGGCAGGGGTGGTCAGCTCCCCTACCCTGCCTCTGATCTGGGCAGCAGCCAGGGTGGTCCCCCGTCCTCCTCCCCGCTCCCCCCCCCCCAAGCTTCCTTCAGTGGGGGGATGAGGCCGGGCATTTCCACTTCTCTCTGGAAGGTTCCGGAGGTTAATGAGGGCAAAGCACGTAACACCACTCAGCGAGATGAAGTTCTGGGAAGAGAGGAACCTGGATCTGGGCTGAGGGCCAAGGGCAGGGTGGGAGACAGGAAGTCCACTCGGAACATGTCTACCCTCCATGGAAAGGGGGTGCCCTTGGTTGCTCTGAGAGGCTGGGGCAGAGACCCAGGGTGGGAGACCTCTGCTCATGGAGCCTGACCGCCCGCCGTCCCAGGGCCACAGCTTGGCCCTTCTGCCCAGCCACCAGGCCCCTGAGGAGTCTCTGAGAACGTCAGAGACATTGACTGGAGGCCTTCTCTGCCTCGACGGGGCAGGAGACCCCTTCTCTTCCCACCGTGGACCTGCTCCAGCCTGGGCTATTTGGGAGGTGGACTCCTGGGGCCTGGGGAGCGTGGCCGATATGGCTGTGGTTGTCCCCAGCTGGGCTGATTTACGTCTAAGGCGCAGTTGGCGGGGTGAAGGGAAGAGCAGGTTCTCAATGCCACCTGGACCCCGGAGGGATGCCAAGCCCACAGCAAAGCCCCAAGGAGTTAGAAGCTGCAGGCAGACTGGACCTCAAGCCTATACCTCCAGGCTCAGTCCCCAAGGTGGGGACATTGATCTCAGGCTGTTCTCTCCCAACCCACCTTTCTGTGCATCCCCGGCTGCCTGGGCTGCGTGCTGGGCACCAGGGACAGGAACGGCTTGGCCACAGCCCGCTGTCCTATGGGAACAAGGTGGCCAAAACAGAGGGGCAGACCCCAAGTAGGCAGTCCCAAAGTGCCATGGGAAGCATTCCCAGCCTGCAGGAAGAAAGTTCTGTGCCCTCTTGGGGGAGAGGGCTCTCTGCTGCCCAAGCCAGTGGCCCCTTCTGCTGTGAAAGGGGCCCCTGGGCCCACAGGGATGGCAGGAGTGAGATCAGGACAGCTGTCCAGCTCTCCCAAATAAGACCAAAGGATCTAGAGTTTCTGCTATTGGGCGGTGCAACACGGTGGGTCCACTGCAGAGAGGGTGGGGACAGGTGCGACGTGCCCACAGAGGGACAGCAAGAACTTACCTGCTTAGGACTCAGTGTCCTCATGTCCCCCTGGGACCCAGCAGTTCTGCTCATGGTATTTCCTCTATAGAGAGAAACTTGCGCTCTTGTCCAGCAGAAGTCATATCCGAGAATGCTCATGGCAGCCGTATTCATA